AAGACTCAGGGATACCTGAAATTCACAAGGATTAGGAAGTTCCTACATCTTATATTTGTAAGGACTCCCCTGAGGTTACATAGTCAGTAATAATTGCAATGGAGGAGAAACCCTACCTCCCCACATCCTGCCAAGCTGCTAGTGATGCGTTGAACTCTAGGGATGATTTTTTTTTCTGGTGATGCAGTCATCCATGCTCCTATAACTAACCTCAGTAAACTCGCTTGTGCTACTGCCTCGGTATCCAGTATGGGGCTGGCTGTATGTAGCACAGACCAATGGCTACTTTGCTTACTCCAACAGGCATAGAACAGGCAGGCCATGCTCTAGTAAGATCATAGTCATCTCCAGATAGCTCAAAATATAAAAATATGATCGTTTTGAGTTCTCTTATATGTGGACATAATTATTATAGCTTTATTAGCTGAACTAAACCAATGACCAATAGCGTATTACACACATAAAAACATTGTCATAAAACACAACGAAGACACAAATGAAGTTTTAAGGCTGCTAGGCTGTGAGTTGCAGGAAAGGGTTCAGTTGCATAGTATGCTCACCAGGCTCTGTCTGTAGATTTGTTATTCATGTGGAAACATTGCTTCTAAATGAAGTTTCATTTGAAAGTATTTGTGAACATTTTGTTGTTTTTCAGTCCTCTGGTATATATGATAGAAACTCATCATATTTTAAAAGACTGGGAATTAGTATTTATTTGACAAGGCACCTGCGATATGGTGAATTTTGTGGTGACTTCTATCTCGTAGCATGGGCACCCTTTGATGGTACTGGTATGCACAGAGGTTTCTAGAACGTCACATGAGGTTATTACTGTTCATCTTGATGAGGCCAGCCTAACTTACAGTCCCCTGGGCAGGTACCTGTTGGGCTCTAGTGTGAAAGGATGGTGTCAAGTTTTCTCCCCACAACTTTTGAGAAGGGCAATGTAAGTCTGTACTGAAGTGAGTCTGGACTGAAGTGAGTCTGGACTGAAGTAAGTCTGTACTGAAGTAAGTCTGTACTGAAGTGAGTCTGGATTGAAGTGAGTCTGGACTGAAGTAAGTCTGGACTGAAGTCTGGACTGAAGTAAGTCTGGACTGAAGTAAGTCTTGACCTTCATGAGTCCTCTTGAGCAGTGCTCCTGTGTTCTGGATTTCACTAGCCAGTCAAATGTCAAAGTCAAAACTCAAGACCCCCTACTCAAGACCAAACTCTTGTGACGTTTGAAGAAAAGGCTGTTCATATTAAATGGGGTCAGATGGGACCATTTACTGAAACCAGCAGGCATCTATCAGCGTCAGGCATGTCGGAACACTAGCATGATCGATCTCCAGTATAGAATGCCTTTAAGGGACGGTTAGACAACTCACTGCTAGCCTACTTGGTCATTCTGCCTCCACAGTGGTAACTTTGATAATTAGGGTTCCGACTGTGAGTGGTTACTCTCTTTCTGCTCCAGCGATATCTTCCAGCTTAGAATACCTCTTTTATTAAGTTGGCTACAAGGAAAGGGAAACCTGGGGTCAGGCAGTCCCAGGTAAAGTGCTGAAAACTTTGATTAAACCACAGTTCTACCAACCTTATCCTTGTGACTTCACTTTGTAAATTGACTTGGAAAAGATATTTTGGGGAGAGAGTCAGGTCTGTCTCAAGTTGTTATTGTCACAGAACATGGACAGAGTTCTTGTTTGCAAATGAAAGCCTACTGTCAAGCCACTGTGATACACGCTTAAAACTAATAAGAAGATATTTTTATCTGGATCATATTGAAAACTTGTTTTTAAAACTTTTGTTAGTTTCTAGATTGTTCTCAACTACTGTAACATTTTGGATACTTCTGAGCCTCTTTTCACATTCTGCACCTAACCTGGAGCCATTTTTTTGTAAGGACTTCAGACTAAGCAGTGCAGATACCCACATAGTTCTGGTCCTGGAAAGGCTTTGAGCCTGGCTGTCCTTTGTCTTAACTTCTTTGTGAGAAGACACAGACTAAGGAGAACAATTTTTTCTTTGTTATGCTGCTTCAGTTACATCATTTCACTACCTTCTTATATATTTTTTAAATACGTTTTTTTATTAAGGGATGAGATAAATACAGGAACAAATTGAACTACAAGTTGTGTCCTTTACAAGACTTGGTGAAACAATAAATGCACAGAAGTCATGTGTCAATATCCTACAATGAAACCATGCAACAACACTCAATGACGTTGAGTATATACTAATGGAAAAGGCTGCCCAGAAGCCCCAGAATTCCTGCCACTCGAAGGACTGATAAGACCCAAATGTCATCAGGCATGTTTGAAGCTACATTTGGTAGAAGGTCTTTGACTGTATTTATTTTTAAACATTAATTTCATAAAACAAAATGAAGAGTCCTCTCCCTACACCTCCAAATCCATAGCTTTCATTTTCAGTGCAATGACAACAGCTTAAAAGGGACCATCACTTGAGTTAGTTTTGAAATGCTGCTTTTCTCAGTGATTGGGGTAATAACTTCTCTTCTTCTCCTGCAGCTGAGTTAGTGAAGATGATTCATGAAACAAGGATAGCTAGGGTCAAAGCCAGCTATCTTTCCTGCCAGGAATGAAAAATCTACAGCATTTTCTATTTTTATATGAAAGCACAGCTATGTTTTATGATTTTATTGCCTTTGAAGACAGCTTCTTAATTTTGGTATAGAAATTAAAACTAACCACGTAGTTTTATGCCGTTTTGATTCCAAAGCAGTTACTGTTTATTTTCACTCATTTATTCATCCAGTAAACATTTACTCAATAACTACTGTCTGCTAGGTATCTCTCAAAGAACTTTAAAGACAGACCCAGGAGCAAAATAGCTGGCAAGAGCAACTAAGAATGGTGGCAAAGCAGAAAATGGCTGTGGGTGGTGGTTTTTATAATGTGGTTCTGAGGGTAAAGGAATATTTGTGAATAAGATCTAAAGAAAGAGAAAGAATGAGGCATGCGGGTATGTAGTTTCTGGATGGGGTACCAGGAAGGGGAATGTGTTGAGGGTATTCTGGTTGAGGCAGGGACTGCATGGCTGGATTCAAGTGAACAGAGAAAAACAGGTCGTAGAAGGGATTATGGTAGCCAGGTAGGGTCAAAAGGTAGGACAGACTATTTGAGTGGCTTTATTGACCACATGAATACGTTATTCTGAGTGAGCTGGGAAGATATTGTGGAGCTTAGTGGAAGAGTGGCATATTTGGGCTTGTATCTTAAAAATATCATGCCAGGTAGCAAGTGGCCTGGGCCCAGATCAGATCATGGAAATTCCGAGTCTAAGAAAGGCCACATTCTGACATCTTGCCAATCTGGGGAAGACCACGAGCCAGTCTTTTGGGACACAGTACACATCTCAATGAAGATGCTCATCAGGAAACTAAGCCCATGAATGAAGCCTTTAGGAAGAAGGCTGGGATTGGAGATGAAGATGAGGGTTATACCATTGTAGAGATGATTCTTGAGGCTCCAAGATCGAAGAGATTCACCTAGAATGGGGATATCCAGTAGTAGCTGCTAGCACCAGCAAGCGGGGAAGACCAATGCATAGGAGCTCTCTCAAGAAGCATTTCCTGGCTGTGTCAAAAACCATAGATGCAGCCAGAGAGTTGGTTGCTGCACTGGACAGGGAGGCAGCCACCAATACCCTTAGCAAATCACCATCCTGGGATGAATGACTGACTCAAAATAGCTCAAAAGGTAAGGAAAAAAATTTAGTTAGTGAGTAGACACAGCTTCTCTGGAGGAGTTTATCTTTGAGGCAGAGAAGACCAATAGATGGAAGGGAAATGCCGTCATGGGGCCAAGGAGAGGGTTGGACCAGAGGACTGTATTGTTAGTGGGTGAAATCCTACAAAGAATGGGAGACATTGGTAATGCTAAGGGGAAGGGGATATGGGTGAAGCAATGGCTTTTATTTGGAAAGGATGTATAAGGCACACCATGAGAAAATGAGAAAAACTTCCCACTATCACTTTAAGAGCTTCTATAGTCATTGGTAATAGGTTTTACCAGACAAGATCAGAAAAATGAGAAGCCAGTGTTTGTAGGTGTGTCTAAATGGAGCATTCAGAACGGTAGTGCTGGAAATGGCAGCGGGCCAAGGGCTGAATACAGGAGCAATACTGGAGAGTAACTGGGGGTGCGGGGGGGTGAGCTCAGGGACTTTCTCAGTGGGTGAAAGAGCTTCAGAGAAGTGAGTGTGGGGAAGAGTAAGGTGGGATTCTGATGTGGAAATGGCAACGAGGCATTATCATGTGTCTTGTTCCTATTCATACTCCACACGTATTTCCTCTGTGATGATGTGACAGCAGGTCTCAGGTTATAGGTCTAGGGAGTCTTTGGCTTAGAGCTTTCCTAGGCTTTCCCAACTGTGACAGGAGCATCTGTAGAAAGGACTTCTTGAAGAAGTGTTGTATAAGTGAAGGAACATGCATACTTAAAAATAAGTTTCAAGTGGAAGAATTTTCCGGTAAGACACATAGGTATAACTATATCCAGTTTCACAGACTTTTAGCCATTCAAAACATGTTTGAAAATGAGAGGTTTAAAATCTAAACAATCATAGGCACAGCAAAGGAATATTTCCTTTCTACTATTATAGACTTGCGCTCTCTCTCTCCAGCTGCAGTAACAAAAAGAAAAGTGTGTTTATAACACGCAGTTTTAAAATGCATGTAGTTTGCTGTTCTTTCCCTCACTGCTGCCACCCAACATGTGAAATTCTGACTTAGGAAAATGTTTCAGATTCCTTAAACAAACTACAGTATGCTTTAACCTGGGAGAAGGGACAAGCCAAGGGGCAACTGAGGCATGGATCGTTGCTGGGACCCATAGTGATCTACTGCTGGGAACAAACTCTTGCCTGCCTGTCAGCATTTGCGAGCCCTTTGTTCTGCAAAGCAATTTGCTATCTCTAAGAGATAAATCAGCAAAACCAAACTCAAACAGGGTGAGTGAGTGGCTACAAAGATGATTACACACAGCCAGAAGTCAGAAAGCTCAGGGAGGGTTTTTTATTTTCAATTGTATTTTCTAGATTTCACCCAAATGTTTAGCAACATTTTGATCTGAGTTAAAACAGTGCAAACCTTATCCAGGGATCTTCAGTTGAAAAAATTTTGGGGAGATCTTTGTTGGTCTGTATTGTGGGCGTTCATGGACTGGCATGTGCAGAAGAATAAAGTTCAATGCACAGGGTCCAGATCTTGTTTAATGTTGTGCAATTTTTTGAATCACACAAATGTCTATGGAGAAATTTCTGGAACAGTGACACAGTATGGAAATAAAAATGACACTAGGAAAGACTTGGTAAAAGTCTATGTGTGTCAGCTCAGGACCTGCAAACGTGAGGAGCTTTTACTCTTTGCTGGGTTCTGGAAGAAAGATCATGTTATAGTCACGCTGTGTGAGACTCACGGGAAGACAGCTCATTTCAGGGTCCCCAGTACTGCTGTAGCAAGCAAGGTCAAATACAATGGCATTTATGAGAAATTCCAGCAAGAAAATAAAAAAAATAGACTTTAGGGGTTAAATTTTGTGTGATAATGAAAATCAAGTTCTTGGGCCATCAGACGGTTTGTATGTGTTGTTTGAGACATTTATATTTAATTTTCTTCAGGAATGAACTAAAAGGTAATCAATAATTTACAACTGTCGAGATGATCAGAACACAGTACCAGAGTCTCTGACGTGTTTGGAGCAGGATAGATTTTCTCATGCTTTCCTGCAACAGGTTAAGGTCAAAGTCTCATCAACACCTCTGTCTCTTCTCTTAACATTGATGTATCACATCATATACTATAAAGCAGTTAGCACGAAGGCAACGGTGTCTGTTCACATGGACTTTCCAAGACAGCACACACAGAGCAATTGCACGGTTCAAGGATACAGGGACATGAACTCATACACACAGTAGCAGGGAAAGCAGTTTTTAAAGAAAGCTTTGTGGGCTGTGAAGTCAGACTTTGGCCCTTCTGTGTCAATGGACAAAACCCAAATGGCTCCAGCCTGGGTATCACACCTCTTTCTAAACTACTGCAGGGGATCGACCAGAGACATAATCATCAGCGCATCACAGGAGCAGACAGAAAACTGTTAGAAGTAGGTGGTGATGACCAGAGACTACAATGACATCGAAAAATGTGCACTTGATACAAGGTCTGTTAGGTGTGTACCCCAGAAAAGAATGGTAGTGTTAGAAGCATGGGGCCCCATCTAAGTGGCCTTATGAGAGTTTGCCCTAACTTTAATGTACTCCACTGAATAAGAATCATAATAATACAAAGAAGTCTAGGTCTTGAAGTTTGTTTAAAATTCCCTAAGAAAACCACTGAGCACCATCTCACTAGAGCTATCAGGTTTCATGTGGTCCTTAATATAAGTTGTTTATATGTTGTGGGGTGGCTATATATGATCTGGATGGAATTGGTAGGAGAGGATTCACAGTCCATCCATCTCCACCATTCACTGGAAACAGGAATCCAAGCTACAATGTCCTGGCAAGCATGTAAGCACAATGGTCTCTTCTAGGTCCCAGGCCAAAGCTGTGGTGTGACCATGCTCAGTGGGTTTGCTGAATGTCAACAATTTAGTGTGTTGAGGATGGACACTAAAGCTTAATCTCGGGGAAGGTGACTCTTCCTTATAGAAAAACAGAAGCCTGTCTAATTTCTAGTAACAAAACCCTTTCAAAGGAAAGATCACAACAGAAGAAATATTAAACTGTTATAAGTAAAGAGATCACATCCACAGAAAAAAAGCAAACAAAAGGAAACTCTCCCCCAGTGGGAACTGTATGATGAGCCACAGGGGCACCATTCTGATATATTTTACATGACCAAGGTCTCATGATGTCAGGGTTGAGACCTGTCATAAATGCCAGAATATTTACTTTCAAAGATAACTACTTCCAGGAATTCTATAAATGTATTTTAAGGAGCAGAGATTGGTGGGCCTCAAATTTGCTTTTACCTTATGCTCAGTGCAAAATGTTTGTACAAAAATATAAAAGGCATGGCTTGATGTTTAACGTCTGTGTTTTATTTTGTTTTGTTGGCACCAGAAAAAGCTCATGTTATGTTATGTCACTGTACATACTGTAAACAAGACGGCATTAATATGTTTTCTTATGATTTTTTGTTCCAATGAATCTAGATTTTAAAAAATACATTCACAAACTACCTTATGTTTAAACACAATGATTCCCTTTTATTTCTTAACTGTACCCAAAGTCCCACAATAAAAAATCATTTAAAGCTGTGTGTTTTGGATGTATCACTTAGAAATAAGAATGAAACAAAACATAAAAACAAAGATCAGTTTGCAACATAATTTAAAGAAGCCTCTGGTTCAAACTGTCACAGCAGCAATATAAAGAGCTGGTGGCAATCTCGTTTGGAGACAAGATCCAGATCCACATTATTTTTGTCCATATCAGCATCCAATCGCAAGAGTTGCTGAATTTGTCCCATGGAATTTGCGAAGACATTGTCATTCAGCAGCATAACCCCAGCAGTAAAAATGAGAACGGGGGGATTTCATTGCTTTTGAGAACTAGAGGGACCATAATGGGCACATCTGGTGATCACCTGAAGACCACCCTTATTACATTCCTGGTGTTACCTGCTTTAGATAACTGCAAATGACCATCGCCCTTGGGGATAACACAGTAGGCTATAGTTCAGAATTCAGAATCATTCCCTTTCTCATTCCCTCTGGCCAAACCATGTTCCTAGCATGTGTTTCGTTCTCATTAATAGTACATTAGCTGCTCATTTGTTTAGGCAAAATCAGTAGGATCACAGTTTTTGTTTTTCTTTTCATTTACAGTAACTGCATTCTTTAAAACCAAGTGTCATTAGGTTTTTGTCACTGGAAATTTTTTTCTCCCTCCAATTTTTAAAGAACAATTTGGTGAACTATTGTTTTGAAAATATTCAATAGAGCTGAGATTGCCCAGTTAAGCTCTCTATATGTCTCCTGGAGATAACACTGCTGTGGTGAACAGAGAAACAAAAACAAACAAAACGAGGTAGGTTAAAACAGGAAGCACAGCACAGATACCATTTCGCAACATCTGGATACCATAGGCGGCCATGCTTACAGCTTTGGGAAAAATCCCAGCCAGTCACATAAAGGTTCAAATCATCCGAGTAAGGGTTTTACGGACACAAGTCAACCTGAACTAAATACACACACACACACACATCTCTGCACAGATGTTGTTAACAGTATGTTGGGAAGTTTGGAGGAACATAACATGATTAGGGTCTCAGAATTTTGGCCAAAGCCTTGCCTTCAGGTTCCCTAAGACCTGAGCTGTTGGAACCTGCAGTGTCTGTGCAGGCTCAGGAGTCTAGTCCCTTGACCCAGTGAGAACACAGCAGCTCAGAAGTATTTCTTAATGATTCTTCTTTGTCACAGTTTAAAATCTTGAGAAAGTGGCACCCTTGGGTTGGCATTCCGGAGCATGGTTGTCATGTAACCTCAGCTCCAGGAAAGGTCTCAACCAGTCTCAATCCTAACATACCCAAATGAAGGGACCTCTTAGCAGGGAGGCTTTGCGCCTTGAGGAAAGAATGCGTGTGTATTTACATAGACATATTAGCTCATTTCTCATAAGCTCCTTCTGGGTGACCCACCTGTCATCCCATGTTTTGCCCTGATCTGTTGCATAATAATTGAGGGACAGTGGCATCCCAGAGTCCCTCCCCAATCACAAGTCCACTCAACTCAATGGCATCTCTGTCCCACTCAACACCCTCCATTCTAGAAAGGGCCATATCAAACTACGGCCTGTCAGACTCACAAAAGTGGTAGTTGATTTTATTAGATTAAGGCTAGTAGTTTAGCCATTTAAAATCTATTTCCCCAGAGAGGAGAAAGCTATTTTGCTTCTCTTTCAAAAATTCATTAGCCAGTAGCAATTAAAAAACAAAACAAAACAAAACAGTCTGTTGGGTTAGTGAAGGCAAGAGAGTTCTTAAATTACCCGACAATGCGGGTATAGCCTTCAGTGCAGGGAGATAAGGTACATTTATTGTGCTGTCTCTCACTACTGGGAATTGGAAGTTTTACAACACACCATATACTTAAAGCTAGCAGGCAGACAGAATTAAAAAAAGACTAATTTCCCAGTATGTATCCTTTCCCCATCCTTATAAAATAAGGGGGTAAAGAAGAAAAAAGTTAAAAAGGAAACCCAAACCCAAAGAACTGAAAAGCCAGCATGAACACAGCTTAATCATAAAAGCACACAATATTTGTTTCTATCCCTAACTCCGAAGGGCACAAGGTCCAACTCTGTCCACAGACAATGCAGCATCCTCGGGATGTCACGGACATTCCTGCCACCTCTTTCTATCCTTCTCAACAAGGCTGCAACACTGAAAGAGGGGCTATTGGGAGGGACGGAGGGGAAGGAAGCGGGAAAAGAAGGCGGGGCGTTCAAGCAGGCCTTCCGGTTCTGCCTCTAGACTGGCATACGTCCACACGAGTTATGTTCTCTTACATTAGAAATAACGCCATGAAGATAAGTGCCAAGTGCTCTTCCGTCACCAGTTCATCATGGAATTTCTGTTGAGGGTCATGAAAAACACTTGGCTACTTCCTCCAGATCGCACGGATGCAAAAAAGACCTGTTTGGAATTAAAAACAAGTTAGTTCAACTTCATGGGCTGTTTTCCCCCTTCTCTTCAGCTGTCCAGCCATTTTCTCTCACATGTCCTATTCTTGCCACACATCAGTTAAGTTTTTGTGGCCTGTGTCTGTAGTGACTTTTGAGACAGTGCACTGTGTGGAATCTCTCCTGACATTATACTTTCTAACATTATTATTTATTGCTAGACTCCTGGCCTGGAACAATGATGATTTGTAAAGGTACAGGGACAATCTTTCTCTTCTTTGCAAGTGACATGGAGGAAGTTGAAAGAGAATCCCTTTAAATTCCCAAAGTTATGGGCAAAATTTGGGAGCCTACTGACAGTTGCACAACTTCAGCGTTGGATTTTTAGACTTAAAAACAAAGACATTAGAGTGACTGTGCTTGACTAGGCTAAGGTGTTGAATGCCTGTCCAGTCTGGTGCTTCAGGGTTGGGCACTTGGCCTCTGTGCTGATGCTGGCAGATTCTAAGCCAAAGGAGATAATGGCATTAATAAGCAGAACCACAGTCCATTAGATTTGAGCCAGTTCAATCATTTTTGTCAAAGGCCTGGGAGAAGTGAGCAGATTTTGATTACTGCTTGCTTGAGCTGAATGTCAGTGAACCACTGCCCCAGGAAAATGGTATTTGGGGCTGTGCAATAGCCCTTCAGTCAGCCAGTGTTTGTGGTCTGAGGAAAGTGTGTGTGTCCCTAATGCTACTTGTTCCCATGGCTCCTTAAGAAGCTTGTGGAATTACCTAATGCTACAGAGGAAAGTACAGCTACTCTAAGGGGTTAGAGAATCGAACTGGGGAGGACAGTGAGGATTTGCTGAAAAGAAAGGGTTGCTGTTGTCCCCAGTTGTGGGCTCCAGTCTGAGAGTATGGGCTGGCCCAGGCCTGCTGGGGTACGTTGTCAAGAACTACAGTGTAGTTGTCCACACCCAGACATTTCACATCTTAAGTTCAAGCCCTGTGAAAGTGTTGAATTTTACTTGTTAAGTCTGATGTGTGTCTGATAAGTCCCCTGGTAACCATCTTTGTCTCCCACAGCCACTGTCCACTAGACCACACTAGGTCAGAAGCAGTTAGCCAGGATCAAAGAATCCAGACCCATAGTATCCGGGTTGGATGAAGACCAATCTGGTCTCTGGGGAACTGGGGTGAACAAAGAGATGTAAACAGTTCAACCCATCACATTCCTTCCCACAGGCATTCATAACTGCTGCTTTGGGGACATGGTTGTTAGGCTGACTCATCTCAGAGGATATGAATGTAGATTAGCTACAGGGAGGGAGAGGTAGAGTGTGATCACTTAAGTATATTCCTGTGGGGTGACTGATCATGCTGGATAGACATGGTCACTTGTGCTAGTACGTGACCCCCCCCCCCCCCACCCCCTGTGACATGTCAGGAGACACATGGCTGGAATGAGACAGGACATGGCAAGATTTGAGTTTGTGACTACATTTTTTTAGGAATGAGTGACATTTTTTAGAAGTTCATATTTCTACATGTCAGATGTTTTACCCTTAAGGGTGAATATACTATGAAAACTAAGTCCTAGTAGTGTCTTCATGAAAGGCCTAAGTGAAAACAAAAGGCTGACCCACTGTGAGATGATTAATGATGGGCCAGATAGTCTAAGTGCATAGGAGGGTCTGCAATAGTTGCTAAATCACCAGAAGGCCCACAGGCCACAAAAGTTACTAAGAGTTCACAAGAAAGTTTTAGATGCTTTATGTTAGTTTGGATGCATAAGTCATAAATTCTGAATGTTCACATGAATCAAACCAAGTGATGTCATTTCAAGATAGTTATTAATCACTTAACACAGATGTGACTCATCAGTATAAAGGAAAATGAAGGTTTCACAGGTACCTGGTGGTCTCTTAAAATGCAAACACTAAAGCAAAGTTGAAACGGATTTACCTTATCATTTCTTTCACATAGAAACTTTAACCTTTGAGCTCGCTTATGCATAAATACTCCATCCAAATGTCCTGTTTCCACTGACCGGATCTCAATAGCTTTCTCGCCCCAGCCCATTATCTGATTGGAATGAATGTAGGCTGTCAAAAGGAATTTCCAAAACTGCATTAAAAACATTAGATGGGCAACAACTCACAGCATCTGTTCACATCTTAACCACAAAAAAAGGACAAAGGACTTGAGATTAAACAGACAAAGCAAGTCTTACAGTGTTAGTCACAGATTTTTTTTTTTTTGGTGTGGACTCAAATGGTTGTTTCACATTTCTTGACTTTTGTTTCATTTGGGGGGGTGTAACTGCTGAAGGAGATAAGGAATGGTTAACCTACCCACAGATGTGGGCATCTCTCCCCACTGGAGAACCACGTCCTTCGTGATCCGGCCATAGGTGTTCACATACACCCCCTCATCCTCATAGCAGACAAGCATTTCCATTCCATCTGTTTTGGGCAAGATGACAATAGCATGGGGAGTGATATTGCCCTGAATCTAGAAGACAAAGAAAGGTGGAGAATCACTCTACTTAAAATCAAGAAAACCTCTTGACTTTTAGTCTTAAGAATGGTAATGAAATTTTATGCCATTTTTATTGTAGAGACTGAAATCTACTTTAGTCACTCCTCTTGTCAAATGCACTGGTATACACAAACACAGTTACTTGATCCAGAATCCATCTTACCGGTTCTTAAGAACAGTAACACTGAGTGTATGGAGTACTAGGGTGCTACTCAATGGACCACTTGTATACATAATTTCTAGTCCTTAGACAAGTTCACTGTTACAGAAAGCTTTGTTGCAGATGAGGGAGCTGCATCTCAGGGTTATATGACTTGACCAAAGCTACACGAGTATCTCGTGGTAGAAGTAGGCTCTGAGCACATTTTTCTGACACTGAAATTCATGGGTTCCCGCTAGAATGACTGCTTCCACAGAATGTAAGAATGCCAGATGCCTACAAAAAGGCCATGGGTATATATAAGTACCTGGAATTTTCACCTGGGAACTCTAATACCAGAATGATCTAAATTAGTGATTTCTTTGGGGGGGGAAGGTAGAATTTCCCTACTACCAGACACACTGCTGACATAAGCACTGGCTGACTGGTTCTGCGGAAAGTGAGGTGCCACTACTACTCTTGGTTGACAATGCCACATCATCCCAGCATGTGATTGACAGGGCTTTGGGGGATTGAAGAAAATAACAGTGGTGACCAAGTCTCAGCTTTGATGTAGACACGCAAGTAAAAAACTATACAATGCAGCAGTGGGTGGCAACTGCATTGAAACACATGTGTAAGGACCGGGCTTCTTTAAAACCTCAAAACACCAATCAGCCATGGACTAGCCTCAGACTATATTGAGAGTTATTAGCCTTGGAATTCATGAAGCATAGCTTACACCACACTGGCTCTCATGTGTGCATCTATGTGGCATTTCCCTTACCGGTAATGCTTTATGCAATTAGTAGTCAGCATAGTGATTTTAATATCATATTGTTCATAAGAGGAACTTGAATATGTTGGGTCCTGAGTCAATTTAGCAATAATTGTAATAATCCTACAGAATAGGTACTTGGAGTCCCATCTTACAGCTGGGAAAGCTGAGAGCTGGAGAAGTTGCCTAGCATGTCTGCTATTGCCAGGTTCACACATGCTAGAAATTGTATGAGACCTAGTACATTTGGCTCCACCACAACACACTGCTCCCAGGCTGATGAGAAAAACTGGGAAAAAGCAGAAAAGAGAATTTTCCAAGAATTTAATATCTAATCATTGTTCTTCTCTAGCATAGAATCAAAAACCAAAAATAGGAACTCAGCTGTTGTACAATATGCATTTCAACTTGAAATCCAAAGAAACAAGATAATATCTTCAAAATAATAGATTTTTTTGTGCTACTTAGCTTCAGGGAGTAATAAAACCTTTAAGAACATTCTGTCTACTCAGTGATACCCAAAGTTCACAATTTATACAGATTAGCATGATTTCAAGAGAAAAAAGGAATAACCTAATCTCTCTACATGTAAGCCGTCATGCAGATGCAGGAGACAGGCCCATTCCTGAAACTTACATGGGATGGTATGTAGATATCATAGGAGTTTCCAGAATCAACATCAATTACATGGAAACCAGTGTGTGAGCCAAAAATGACCTTTAACCTTTGACCTTCTTCAACTGTTAGGTCAACAAGCAGAGGCTTATGCTGAAGATCTGCAAAAGACTTTAAAAATCAGCTCGTTAGTATCCATGCCATTAAAAGAGGTTGTCTTATTCCTAAGAGTTTCACTTGGCCACTGTCAGAAGGAAGTGGTTTTTTTTCCCTCCCATTCAAAAACTAGGAAAATATTTCTGTCAGGTTGAGGTTTACTCATATTTGACTCCGGGAGGAAAGCTGTATTGTTTATGTTTGTTCCCATTTTTCCCTTTCTTTTCATGCACAGTAAAAACAGTTTACAGTTGTCAATTTTGATAGTGGCTTTGTGTGTCAAAGCTCAGTGGCTGGGTGCTGCTGCTCTTTTCTGTATATTTCTGGCCTTTGTCCTCTACAGAGTGTACAGTGATCTCCACGGCCCCCTTTTCCCATGTGGTACCCAGGTTCATCTATGGTTGCTACCTTCAAGAACAGGCTGGGAGCATCACTGTGTTAGCTTTGTTGGAGATTAGTGGGCATATTGGCTATGATTTTCCTACTGTGATTGTCAGTTTCTCTAAACTTTACACTGTATTCTGAGAGTTGTGTTTGGGGGATGAGAAAGGGAGATGTAGAAGACACATTGCAATACTCATGGCTTATCTTGTCTTCAAGGATTTTACTGGAAAGCAAAAGCTCCAGCTAAGCTTATCAATCGGTCCAGGCCTTAAGCTCCATAGCTGTAAAGAGTTTCAGTCTCTATCTTTGTCATGATTCTGTAACTTTTCTCAGATATTGAGCTCTAGGGGAAGATTCAAGAAACCACATCTGCTATAGTCATTCTCACAGCACAGGATGTTAACACCTTTTGTCCTGGACCTAGGAGAAGGTTCCACCTCTGGTCTATGGCAGTTTTTCCCTTTCAAGGCTTTGCCTCTGTGCTTCCTCTTCTAGGTTGGGTTTGATCTGCCGAGGGGAGTGTTTTGTTCTCTCATGGGCTGTGACCAGGACCCTGAGGGCTGACTTGAGTTGGAATGGGAAGGGATATGAATGAAAAGCTTTTCTGGAGAGAGAATTTGGCAGCAAAGTAGTACCACATTAGCTTTGGGAGCCAGCCTTTCATTGCTATTATGACCAAAACATAATCCAAAGATTTCTTGCAGCAAAGTGGGCCTATGGAGGAAAGCCCACTTCTGTCGATGAACCTGTCATCCACAGCACATCACAAAATGCCATCTGAACCAAAAGAACAAGATGGGAGTGGAGTGATTGTTCTCTGATGAAAATCCCAGGGCATATTTGGTCTTTACTTACAATAGGTGGCAAGAAAGAATAAATAAAAACCCAAAAGCCAATTACAGTCACAAAGGTAGGGAAAATGAGAATCAGTGAGAAATGCAGAGAATGGGAGATAAATTCACATTGGATATGTCTATGTGGTTCTGAACACATCAGTGTGACTGAACGCAATGGTCCTTTTGGCGCTCATCTTTTATAATCTGGGATCAGTGGGACAACAAACATCCTACTCTAGTTGAACCTCATGGGGATCCAACCTTGTGTATAGACCAAAACAAGTCAAACAAACGCAAGGACAATCAGCATGGAAATGCAGAAGAGTGAGGTCTTCTCCGTGAATGACTGCCTTCAGCATTTGTTCCAGAGACATCCTCATGAGATAGGAATAAACAAAGATCATCAATCTTAGTTTATTCAGAAATGTCAGTGATGATTACCAGATCTGGAGACACAGTGTTGCCACAGATCTGTCTTTTTCAGGCAAAACACCAGACAGGTTTGATTTTCAGTGGCTCTACAGCAGACATGGTTGTGTAATGTTGTGTTTGGTACTTTTCCTGGTAACTGTTCCAAACTAAATTCCTCTTGAAGTCAACAGTTCATAGATTTCCAATGGAGGAGGACAATCACAGGTTTTAATGTGATAAACTGTAGAGTATTTTTAATACTAAAATCTTTTGAAATAATAAATTCAAGAATTTTTTTAAAACAAGTTTTTCTCTACATAATAAAACTGATATTGGCTTATGTGGAAAATAGAATCCTGGTGGAAACTGAAGTAAACAAGCAATATCTGGGCTTACCTTAAACGCCATGAATTTGTGGTAAGGTTTAGGGGCCCAAGCATATATCTCCACTGCGTTCTTTAAGGCAATCACCAAGAACTTGATCCTCTCATATTTAACTGAAATGTAAAAGAAGAGAGTAAGAGTTAAGAAATGGCATCAATTTATCCAAGAATGCTTGTATTAATGAATGAAGACATAGGCCTGTCTACATGTCTTCACAATGAAGGCAGTGCTATCCTTGGAATAGGTTGATTTTGATTTTTACACATAAATTTAATTTCCTTTGGTGTACCTGGTTGACATAATGTTAGAATTTTTAAGGTTTATATTAAAGGATTTTTCTTTATCTACAGGTTGGACAATTTCAGTTTAGACATGGATGTTCATTTTGGTAAGTACCTATGCCATTTTCTTATGTTAGTTTGCATGTCTTGTATGCTTACTTGAATGTAGTTATGACAAGATGCTAAAACAATTAACAAACAGAAACATAAGCTTATCATGCATTATTATTTGCTTGTTACTCACATTTAAATCCTGATGATTAAATGAAGTAATTATTTATATGAAGTAATAGGGGCCCTGAGTTCTGTCAGAGGCTTATTTTTAAGGGTTTCATGTACTCTGGCAAATCCTTTTACTTTTTATGAAAATAAAATATTATGGATCTTCACTTGGTTAAGTGACTGAGTGCCTAACTCATTATTGCATCACATAAAATAGCACTCAACAAGTATGTACCAAGTGAATGAATGACACATTCTGCCATCTGAATTATTAGTTACTGTGGTCTACTTGTTTCTGGTAACAAAATGACCAGTGTTTACCATGATGACCTTGAAGAATTTTTTAAAACTTTTGACACCATTTTTTTGTATAAAATATCTGCACGAAAGCATCCTGTGCCACAAGGAAGCTAGATAGGATAGATTTTTTATTTAAGTAGATGAAATGTTGAGTTTCTAGTTGGTTCCTTTATAATTTTTTTATGCTGTAAACGTTTTCTTTCTTTCTTTTTTTCCCCCAGTGCTGGGGACTAAACCCAAGCCCTCTTGTTAGGCAAGTGTTCTTTGCCACTGAGCTCCATCCCAAGCCAACTTCTTACCCGAGACACAGAAAAAGATTCACAAAGACTAACACAGCTTCAAAAGGAAAATCATGTAAATATATATAGGACAAAAGAAATGTTCTATAGGATGCTTGCTTTTCTGTGTTATTCCTATTTTATTGTTTATCTAAAAGGTCACGTTTGTTAAGTTATTATTCAAGTTATTATCAGGTATTGTCATTCTTTCTTTCTGTTTTTGAGATTTCATAGGAATTTGAGTACACAGGACTAGTTACAAGCATTACAAGATGGCATTGCTTTCCTGGTTGGAATCCCACAAGGAAAGCAAAGCAGAGAGAATCTGTGGTTCTTTGGATAACGATGTTAAAATGTTCCTGTTAGTTAAGATGGTCTCAAGTTTCTGATAAATACTAATTAATTATTGCTCTCTAGTTACACTTTATTTTGTAGTTTTGTAGTGCATGTCAGGGCAGTGAAATGATATAGCCTTGACCAGAAGGACCAAACTAGAAATGTTAGGAAGGCTGACGGGAGACGTGCAGGTTAAACAGGACTCAGAGAACCTTGCATTTCTGGAACACATTTTCCATGTATAGCAAGACACAACATTCAGAAATGGTACTATCTTCTGTAATTAGTTTTATGGCTTTATAATTACACAGTCTTAGTTTGTGTTATGAAATCTGATCACTAAAATATTTGGGCTAATAAAAGTCAAATGGTAATAGCAAAATATTTCTATTTAAAGCAAATTCTACAGCTTTTTCACAGCCATGTTTAGAAGCAATTCTAAGTTTTCCCACTGTTGCACTTGAGTTGCCCTGCTTTTTTCTGCAAACAATCATGAATTTGCAATAAAGAAACACAGAGTCTCCAAGAGAGAAACACTCGCAGACAGGAAGCTGCCTGCTGCCTGGTGGGAATGATGTGGGCTGCGTCTGATTCTTTGCCACATAATCAGGTTAAAGTAAGAGAAAAATCGCAGTTTCAGAATATGACAAGAAAGGACCAAGTCTGGTTTCCCAAACAAAAGCACCAGTGGAGCCTCAATGTCACCAGATTGCTATGGAAAAAATACTCCCCAATGTGGTCTGGTTTGTGAACAGTTCTGTGCCCATTCAACATCCCTTCCTTCCTTTGACAAAACTGCTTAGCAGGTTTCCATGTGCCTGGCATGTACTAGCTGCTGGGATTCAATACCAACAGGATGAGGCTGTGGGATGTATTTTACAGGTACTGAGTGTTTCTGAGCTTCATCGATAGCTCCCTTCGTCACTTGTCTATTTTTTCTACATAAGAGCATATACATAAGCCCACCGTATTATAAAGATTACAAAGATTTCTTTAGGGTAGAAAACACAAAGGGAAGTTCCCTCTCTTGGATGTTCTAGTCACTAGTCACTGTTCCCTAGTGTCTGAGATGGTCACAGAATGAACGTGGAGGAAAGGGACATGGAGACTGTCCTCGAGCAGGAGAGTCAAGAGGTAATATACTAAGGTTCCAGGACAGGATAATATGAATAACTTGATTCTTGCTTTCTGAGTTCCTGTTTCCACTTTAACCATCAGTCATGCAACGCATGTAGCTGGACCACTCTAGGGGTTACAGTTTCAAACCTGCACAGCGCTTTCCTGAGACTGCATGAGGGTACCTATGGAGCAATGTCTAAAGCCCCACTGCCACGCTTTCATGGTAATTTCTTGGCTTAAAAACAAAGCTAACATACTGTATGTATTTTACAAACCTGTAGAATTTCCTTATTCATCTCTGTTCTGAAATGACAAGTTTTATAGGTAAAAAAAATCTCAAGGTCACATAGTCAGTCTTAGTTCCAAATATGGACAGTGTCTACTGATTTCACAGCATGGAAAGAATCACTTTCATAAAACCGTTTCCTTTTCCCTATAGCTCCCACTCATAGCTCTTATCCATATACCATTTCTTAAATCACACTCAGAAATGTAAAATTTTAAAGTTTTGATTAAAGCCATCTGAAGAGTTCAAATTATTTATCTCCTCAGCTAAGGACTGATGACTTATTTCTTTCTTGCCTTTCCTCATTTTTTTCACACCTTTGCTTTCTGTGTTTCTAAGTAGATGTGAACTTTCTGCTAGGAAGTATCTTTTAGCACCGTCAATCAGCCATGAGCTACTCATGCCTTTCGGTTTTTTTCTTGGTACCACTCCCCTGGAACTAGACACCATATGCTCTGCAGGCCTGTGGCAAAGTGGTCCTGGGTTCTTTTGGCCATCATTCTGGGCATTTCATTTACTTCTTCCTAAATTACTGTTTTAAGTTTTTATTTTAGTGAGACACATCTTCCAGTAGCTTTCACAGAGACTGTGAATGACATGGGTTCTGGAGATATCGTATACCTATAAATGTCTTCCTTCGGCTCCTAAAACTGATGCCCAGTTTGATTGCATGATCATGTTCATATCATGTTCAAACATTTGGTCAGACATTATTCTAGGTGTATTTATAAGACTTATTCTAACATTTGAATTAGTAGCCTGGGTAAAGCAGAATGCAATGGGCTTCAGCTTATAACTTGACAATTTGAATAGAACAACAGGCTGAGACCTCCCCGTCCTCGGTCGAGACAGGAGAATTCTTGTCTCCAAACCCAGGTCACTTCTTCTATGCTCTTGAGCGGGCTGTGTTTCTGCTTGGAACCCCACCCTCAATTCTTTGGGTCCCCAGGATCTCCTGGGTCTACAAGTTCCCAACTGAAACATTTTGGGACTGACTTCTTAGTTCTAAAGTTCTGAGAGCGAATTCCTGATAATGAGTCTCTACATCAGGGAGGGGCATCAACTCTAACATCACCCATTTTATGCATTATAATGTGGGTTGAAAATATTTTATTTCGAGACTGTTTCATGTATTGTAAGGACAAGGATGACTTTGAACTTTTGATCTTCCTGCTTCCACCTCCAAAGTGCTGAGGCAAACTACCACACCTAATTTATCTAGTACTATGATAGGTTTGTGCATAGAAGGCAAGATTACACTAAGTGAGCTGCTCCCTAGCCCTCTAGGTAAAGGTAACTTTGCCTTTGGATCTCTGAAGTCTAGTTGGCTCTGTTTTCTAGGGCCCTGGTGTTGATTTTGAAAGGCCACAGGACACTCTGATTCTGGGCCTATTTTACATATTCTGTTTATTAATTTTCTTATAACCCGGGAATTTCAAGGACCTTCTCATTTCTTGTACACTTAAATACCATATTGAGGCAGCACATTTGGGACCTTTCTTTTTGAGTAACTGTACTGTGTTCTCAGAATCATTTTAATTTGGATGCCAAGGCCTGCCTCCTAGAAGTCATTCTCTATTCTTTCTCTCCTATGTTCCTCCATCTCTTCTTACTATTTTGTCCCTTTTTACTGAGCCTCATACTTTGAACCTCTTGGGTTGATCCTTTCTTTCCTTATATTTTCTCCTCTTTTTAAAATGATTAATTTTAATGTTATTGTTTTCATCTCTCTCTCTCTCTCTCTCTGTGTGTATGTGTGTGTGTGCATGAGTGCGTGTGTGCGTGTGTGTGTGTGTGTGTATGTGTGTGTACAAGTATGAGCCTGGTATGGAGACCAGGGCAGTGTCAGATCCCCACGGTCTGGAATTACAGGTGGTTGTGAGCCTCCTAATGTAGGTGCTAGGAACCAAACTCCATCCTCTTGAAGAGGAGTAAGTACTCTTAACCCATGAGTTTTTTTCCAGCTCCCTGTAGGGAGCGTGTGAAGTCCTTAGTAAATATGTACTGTTAATATGGGCATGGCCATGTCCAAGACCCAAATGCTTCCGACTCATGGGAATAGCAAAGCTGTTCTCAGATCAGGCTCAGGGAAATTGCAAAACCTCCCATGGTCCATTTGTGGATGTTGATATTGTGTGCAGTATATGTTGACTGCTTCCTCTTTTGGGATGTTCATAGACAAAGGCTGCTCTCCTACAGAGACTACAGAGAAACCTGCCTTCTTGTTCACCTGCACACATTAGCTCTGTTTCTTCCTTTAGCTCTATTCAATAAATTTGCTCCCTATATTGAGATTATAGGAGACGTATAAAGTAAACACACTCAGTTTCCTGGATGCTAGTGATTCTCTATCAGAGTGCACAACATGCCAGATCAGAGCCTTGTGTGTCTGTTGTTTCTTCATTCTCCGTCACCCCAGTCAGGCCACCCCTAAAGCTTTGCAGGTTGAGGCAGATACCCTGCTTGTCTTAGTTCTACCTCATAGGCAGGTTCTTCATTCTGAACTTTAAATGCTTATATTATTTTTATTCTTGCTAAGTTTTTTTGGTCTTTTATTGACCTCCCCAATTCTACTCCACCTTTAAGAACACTCCTATTCTTTATTTAGAAATAACCCCTCAAATCTCTGTAAAATATAGCTTTCTCTTTCCTGAATTTTTCTCCCATGCCGCATCCTCCGATGTCCTTGCTTCCTGTTTGTTCCTGCTTCCTGTACATGAGATCTACCTATCTATTCTCTGGTTGAGGTGGGCCAATCAACTGCCAGCAGTAACTTTAGAGAAGGAAGGAAAATTAGTATCCATACATTCAATTTTTACAAAGACAAATTTTTCCAACTCTTTCTTGGGAGTATAACTACACTGCCAACATTTTGGGAGCTACATAGGGAAGGTGTGTGTGTGTGTGTGTGTGTGTGTGTGTGTGTGTGTGTGTGTGTGTGTAGGTGTCCGTGTGAGCCCTCACAATTATTTTACCCTCACACTGGCTGTGCAAACTCTTACCCCTTTGTTGCAGTGTTGAGGACAGCAACCTGCCTATGGGGGAGTTGCTGGGCTCTTAAGACTCTCAACTTCTCTGCTTTTTCAGCATCCCTATTTTCAGCTCTGCTGTTCACCTCTATCCTGGGGTACTCCCTGGGGTATGTGTGGATAAGTTTGATAATGGTCCTCACTGCAGACTGAGGATGCAGCATCCTTAATCTACTCTGTCTGACCCTTGGCCACACAGCCACTTTTATCCAGTTTTATGACCATTTCATATTTGCTGGTGTCTCTTCCTTTGATCCAATCAGTCTTGGGGACTTAGTGCATTTTAACTTTTTTAATGTCATTTTAGGGAACTTTGGGAGAAGCACATACAAATATTCAAACTGAAGCCCAGCATTTTATTCTAAATGCATTCCTGAGTTTCATTAATCTGACTTCTGGGAGAATAATTCAAGTACACTTGAGGGTTCAGTTACATTTTAACCTAGTGACACATACACCATCCACAGCAGGTAGAAAGCACTGAATACATTTAACCGAACGGTTGGGACTCTCAAGTTTCCCAAGCTGACACTTACCAACTTTGTAATGTATACAGCCTTCCAAGTCCCCAACTGTGATCCACCCCTGCTTCTTTTCCACTTCTGGGTCATTGTGCAGGATTCTGTTTCTTAACCACGAAAGATAGTAAACACGGAGCTTATTCTTCTTTCCTGTTGAAAAAACTGTTTTAAATTCAAGCTCTGTGATAGCCTTTCCTTCCCTCCCCTCTCTAGACTGCTGCTGGCATCTGTGTGTCTGTGAGAGAAGATGACCAGTGTCCGGCTTATCCTTGCTGTTGCCTCTGTTAGGACGTGTAACAACATACCCTAGTGCTTTGGTCAAAACCCACTAATTGAACTTTTCACTTCTAAGCAATTTCTTATTTGGGGAAGCTGCACTTACTCTCCCTTCCCAGGTTGGCTGAACTTGGTAAGGGAGTTCAACTCTGTCACAGAGTTCCAGAACATTCTAGAACTAATCTCATAAAGGAATGTTGACAAATGGGTATTTCAGTCTACCTATGTGGGTGCCTCCTCAAGTTTTCTCTTCCCTTTCTTTACCTACTCACTCACATCAAAGACAATTGTTCAAAGTTTTATTTTACTGATGAGACAAAGGGATTTAACAGAAGAGAAACAAATTCAGTAAAGCAATTTGAGTTTAGAGGATGATAGTGGTCAAAGTTATAGTGTTGGGGTCACCAAAAAGAATATTAAATAAAAACATCAAAGAAGAAAAAAATGATGTGGATTTGGAATTCTGAGCAAGGTTTAAAGTTCCCTCTCTCAGGACGATAAAACAACAGCTGGATGACACGGAAGATTTATGGAAAGCAAAATGAATCCATTCCACTGGGTTATTTGAGTACTAGAGAGAAAATGCACATTTCTATGGCTTTTTCTTAATGAGATATTTAGTCTCGTGCATTTTATTTCTCAGATATTTTCCATTGCCTTTAAAGAGGTTTTACGGTGTATGGCTGGGATATGCACCAAGAAGAGAATTCACGAGAGCATCCATCCCTCACTGACTTGATGGAGGACTGCGACAAGGCTTAAGCTGTGGGAAACACTGCACAGCTGGCATTTGTTTGTGTAAGCAGAAGCCCAGAGCCCAGGTGACCAGGATAGCTACAGTGAGCAGAACCAGTGCTCCATCTTCTGGTGCCAATAGGACCCGAAGAGTTCAAGAATTTCCCTTCTTGTTTTCATTATCTCTTTTTTTTTCCCTTTGTGCTCCATGATGAGAAGAAATAGTTATACACAAAGGATGAAGACTTGTCATTAGCAGTGAAATAGAGCCTGGCCTTGAATTTTCTGGTAGCTTTTCCACTTTGCATAGATGACAGATAGATGGATGATTTCAGTTTTGATTTGGGAGTGCAGTAATCAAGAAAACAATTAGCCAGAAATAAAGACCACATAGAACTCAATTCAAATCATAGTATAAGAACAATTTACCTGGTTAGCCTTTATTTTCAACAACAAAATTCTAAACAATCAGAGAAGTGAAACAGAGAGGAAATTATGTGCCAAGAGACCACATTTTCCTCAAACCACAAGCACACCTAGAGAGTTAAACTTTCATCTTCATGGTTCAACCCAGAAGGCCTATGTGGTCCTCATTGCATAACAAAGAGGAAGAATAGAGTTCATAAACTATGCTGCATGATGAGAAAGTATCATCAATACTGAATGCCTGCACCTTATCCCAGAGATTCTGAGTCTGGTCTAGGAGGAAGCTTGGGTTTTCTAGGTGGTTCTAACATGTAAGTAGTACTGTTCAGTCCATAGCTGATGAAATAAAAAGGGAGGAGGGTAATTCGTTTAACTCTTTCAAACACTACCAGGAAGAAGCAAAGACCTTCTTATCAATAAATACAGACTCCAGTCATATTTTTCAATTGTTAGTAATGAGGCTTACTTCTCTAACAAGGTCTTTCTCCCATTTAAAAAGATATTGATGTGATAAAAATGTGCCATTGAGGATGTCCCCACTCTATCCTCTTTCTAGAATTGGTTACCTAGTAGTACAACTGTTCTTAAAATATCGGTGAATTACAAGCAGACATCTTGAGGTAAAAGAGACTTTTGCTTGCTAATCCCCACCCAGAAGCCTTTATGTTGATATTCTTCATCTCAGAGGATGATAGTGACTGCAGTGAAGACAGCCGTATAATATTCTTGCTGAGTTTTAAGGGAGGCAAAAGCTCAGATGCACAGCTTTTGTGATCAGGTCTGCCTCACTCAGGGTTAGTGCCCAGCCAAGTCTTCCTGTAGAAGCCAGACCCTCCAGCGTTGAATACACATACGTGATCTCCGTCAGTTAGAGCACTGTGTATCTCCTGTGGTTTGCTGGGCAGGTCTTCTTCAGAGATCAGGATGTTACCTTCCTACCTGGGCACATCTGGGGGTCAGGTCAGCAGAGTAACATACCTGATATTGTCACAAGGACATTAAGTCCTTCTAGCACGTCCATCTGCTGGAATCGCCTCCGGTTGATCAGGTTGTAGACTTTGCCTTGGCCACTTCTGTCCAAAAGCATCAGGCCGTTTTCAGTTCCCACGAGAAGGTTTACACCTGGGAATTTAAGATGCACACAAGGACTGAGTCTTTGTGGGCCTTCACCAGTTTTACCTGGATCCCTGTGAAGCCCAGAAAACTGTTCTATGAAAAGGAAACAAATGGGCAAGCAGGTGCTATGGCAGACGGTGTAGAGGTAGAAGGGCCAGTTTGCTAATTCTATCACTGTTCCTCAGGTAACAACTGCAATTTTATTTTTTTTAAGTGGAAACAGCAGAATACCACAGCTATCCATTTACGGAGAGTACATGCCAAGGGAGCCTTAGGCAGAGGTGTGTAAGTTAGCAAAATTGCTCATCTTTCTCCTTTATGGGGAGTAACCTCCTCCCTGTATGTGCAACTTTTTTCTTCCTAGGTACTCCTCTCCCCCCACCCGCTGCCACCACACACCTCCTCATCCAGTGGTTTCTGATGCAGATAAACTAGTCACCTTCAGAATACAAAAGTTTCTGCTTCTGCACTCTCAGCATGGGAGCCTTTACACACACACACACACACACACACACACACACACACGTTATCTAATTCTACCCTAGGACCCTGTAAACAGTTATCCTTATCCGGAAGCTGGCAGATAAGTCATTTCATCTGGATGATCATAATAATAAAATTTCACACCTAAAGAAGTTAGTTATCTACTTATGCTGTCCCTATATCGAGAGATTTACTGTGCACAAGATCTTGAACATCTCTTGGTATATATCTATCTTCTAAAAACATGAATGACCACTTGCCATGTCCTACCATGTTAAAAGTGGTTATTTTGTTCTCCAAATCTCATCTTCCTACTGCAGAGCCATTGTGCCTCACATGGAACAATTCCTAGACTTCAATACTTGCTCCTGCTCCCATGGCAAATACCTTTAGCCTTTTAAAATTAGGATGTCCCAATCCAAGCCTAGCAACAGAGATGGGGTCAGTTGAACCACATCCTGATGTTCCTATGATGCTGTAAGTAATATAGGCCAAGACTTTGATCCCCACACCTGTACTGAGCTTGAACCCAGCTAATATCTTCAGATATACTTGAGGAGAGCTTCATATTGATGTTTTCACTGAAAAGGGAAGGCTCATCATTTGCTGCTCTTTTCAAGTTTTATCCAATTACTGCTGTTTCAGAGGCCCTGGGTAAGTCACTAAAATATGCTGGGCTTGTTTTTCAGCTGTGAAAGGAAGGTGGTGCCATTATGTGCCTTGCAGGATACTACATGGATCACAGAGGTAGGATGTCGGGTGCCACATATAGCGCTAGACACAGTGGCTGAGTATTAGGTGGTGGCTGGTCTTTGCTCATCACTCTAAATGCCATCTTGAGTAATAATATGTATATCTCCTACTTTTGGTCACTCCTAAGGTGGTGCCATCCCTCCCACCTGTGACTCCCCTAGTGCTTTCTGATGATAAAAACCATAGACTTTTTAACACTTCAATGTAAATTGAATAATGAGTGGGGAAAACAAACAAAGAAACAGACAGACAGACAGACAAACCACCAACATACCCCATAGAGCTGCACAAAGTATTTCGGAATTGAAGCGTTTCTTGTATTTTCTGATTTCCGGCGTGTCACTATGAGGGCGGATGTTTGTCGGGTTCACATTCACCACTGAAATCTTTCTGGCTTCATTGAGTTTAGCCTGTTCTTGCCTAAGGAGTTCGCTAGTAAACAGGGCTTTGAGAGAAAGAATTAGAGAAGTCAATGCATCCTAACAGCCAGCCAGTGAAGTATGGAGGGAGGGCTTGGCTTAGGGTGTGGTATAGTAAAGGCACAAGAACCATGAACCTAGTTTATATTTGTTTAGTAGGATAAAGCATGTTGTTCACAGAGCAATATTTTATTCATTAGCAAAACAGGCTTATAGACACTCCGTTGGGTGGTGTAGAAAATTAATATTAATCTCACAGTCAAATTTGCCATTCCTGTAATTGCAAACAAGAAACAGTGCCCTTTTGAGACTCCACATAAGCTGACATCAATGATTAGTGAGTTGCAGATGGTAAAGAAGCAAGGCCATCCTCTTAGTTGGCCAGACCTGCGGCAGAAGTGCACGCCTGAAACTCAACACCACTCAACATACATTTCTGGAGTGTTAAGCACTGCACTACTTCGAGCATAGCATTATACCCAGAAACTGTTTTTGAGAAATATGTGGTAAGTTTGGAGATCGCTGTGGAGTTGCTTTTCCTAGTATCCTGGGATACCTCTGGGTTTCTTCCAGAAACATAATAGAAAAGAAAATCGGGGGCAGAGGGAGAGAAAGTAATCTGCTTTAGGAATACCACAAATAAAAAGCAATAAAAGGTGTAACCTGAGTCTTGTCACTGGGTTGTACAGAATAGGAAACCTGTTTCTATAACTACAGGGCCAGCTCGCTTACCAGCAGCTGATGACTCGTCATCTTCTTCGTCTTCATCAGTGGGCGATGTCTGATACACTCTGGGGTCCACGAAGGGTGTGAAGGAGGCTTTGGTGCTGCTTCCCATACCATACTGATGAAAAAAGAAGGAGAACTCAGTGCTGCAGAATAGGTGGTGATGGCTTTGCTTTGCTCAGACTCAACCCTGCCTACGGACTCCTCTGCTGTTGATTCACTCTCTAGACAAAGCATGGGCCTCTGTCCAGTCTACTCTCCAAACACTGTGTGTGTGCAAGGCTTCATTAGTGATCAGACTATGGGTGTTTCAGAAAGAAAATTACATTTGGATGGCAGGTGGCCCCTTCGTATCTGTACTCCTGTCATTGGCCATTACACAGACAATTTATATCTATTTTAAAGTCAGATCATCATGTATTGACCAAACTATCTTAAGAAAAGCAAAATGCAAGACACATTGTTGCAGCAACACTCCATCCTGGAACATGTTGCTGCAGCAACACTCCATTCTGGAATGGTCAGCTCAAGAGATACCCCCTTGGAAGGCAACCTGATGATGCATGTGAATTTGAATCAGTTCTAACAGCTTAAAATTCTTTAATCACAGATAATTTATTTAGGGATTAGTGTTTCCTTCTCTTGGTAGCTTAAGAGGATGCTTAGGCTACCTGCTTTATATGGGAACTTCATGTAGCCACTGGGTTTGTAAGCAATATTCCTTGAGGGCTTACTCTATATAAGTCTTAAGGGCATAGACTGTACTATAAAGGCATGAAATCAGAACTAGATTGGGAATAATATATTCAAAATTACCATTTGCTGTCATAATGTAGTTGAATTTATCAAAAGAGGTGTTGTAACTATTTGCCCATTTTTGTCTGTTCTCATCTTTCCATCTACAGTACCTATTGTGTGTGTGTGTGAGGCAGGTAGGGAGGAGAGGGTGTGAGGAGAGAGAGAGATGTTCACATGTGTGCACCTGGGGGTCAGATACCCCTATCAGGTATCTTCCTTGATCACTGATCTACTCATTTTTTTTGAGACAGTCTTTGACTGAGCTCAGAACTCTACTTGGCTTGGTTAGCTGGCCAATTGAGAGTATTTCTGCCTCCCTCCATCTCTGGCACTGGGGTACAGCCATACCCTGCCACATTTACATGCATTCTGGGGATCAGAACTCAATCTTTCTCCTTGTGAGGCAGGCACTTTACCAACAGAGCCCATCTCTCAAGTTCCCTACTCACCCTTTTAGTATTACAAACACACCAGTATTCAACATCCTACAAACCCTTTGTGGGTATTCCCATTTTAGGCATAAGTTGTTAGTTTTGTTATTAGATTTTTATTTAAAAATAAACCAACATTCCTAAGCCCTAATCGCATAAGGACAAACTTGCAAATATCCAATTTGATTTCCTAACTCACAAAGATCCAATTTAATTCCCTTCAAGATTTTCTCTCTACCCTTTGGAATCAAATTCCTTTCATTCTCTTCACATAGTAGCCCCCACCCCCACCAGCAGTACCTTTTCATGTGTTTTCTGTTTCAGCTTTAGGAGTCCAGGAAGGAGATGGTAAAACAGGTAAACCATTTCCTCTCAGAGCTGGGATAGCAGCAGCATTTGAACTAAGGCCTTGTTCTGGAGGGGCCTGTTCTGTGGGACCCTCCTTGGTACTGATGGAGGACTTTAGGTGAAAATGGCTGCCCCACATTGCACAAAACTGCAACGGGATGCTGTGCTTTTCAAGATGCTCACGAGTCCTTGCCCTTGGGGCATGTTAAGAGCACTCACAACATAGAAATGTGGTGTGTGGGTAATGCCAAAACCAATAGTGCACATGGTATGTAAAAACACTGAGGGCCTTATGTGTGAGTCACAGGACTACCATGAAACATGCCATAGCCATGAATTCATCCCATGATGTCTAAGAACTGCCTGTGCTCACTTAGGCTCTCCTAGGACTGCTTCCACATAGGGAAGACCTTTTATTTCACCTTCCTGCTGCAACTTGGGGAAAGAACCAATCTCTTGTACATTTATTAAACAGTAGGGCCTTATCTCTCCTAAACAAACCATTTCAACCTCACTATTCAAGTCAAGCTTAGGTTGACTAAGTCAATGGAAACATGAGTCACAACTGTTGGCTTTGAAATCTCTACTCGTCTACAGTTTCTCCTGCTGGCTTGTGACACAGGAGATTCAAGTTCTGGTTGAAGCACTGGTAGAGCTAGCTGTGTGTCCTGGACAAGTCATTGAATCACTCTATGTTTCAACTCTCTCAAGTCCCTCCATAACGCAGGAATCAGGCTAGATGATAAGTGAGAACTTTTTGTTCTTGTATCTGTGTGGCTTCTCCAAGTATTAGCATAAGTAGTTATACAGCAGAAACCAATCAGACACAAGCTTGGTTCTTGACTACATCAAGGTATACAACTCCATGGAGAAGAACAGAACTTTCATGGCTATGCCTGGCACCTACTTCAGTCCCAGAATCCATCTCCTGGGAATGGGTAGAGACACGACCCAGTCCCTCGGTGGGAGTTCCAGCTGGGGAATGACTCTGCTGCACAAGGTCTGGGAGGTTGATGTGACCTGCAAAGCCATTACTGTCACTGTGGCCAGATCGCTTCTTTTCTTCAGTCGTCTGAGGGGTATAGCACACAGAGCCCATTAGAGAGAGGGAACAAATGGAAGAATGATGTCACTTCACAATTCTAGGTGTAACAGGCTCCAAACTGATCTACTGGGGAATATAGGATGGTACACAGATCAATACCTCTCCATAGATGCAATGGACTCAAACTGATCTACTGGGGAGTATAGGATGGTAGCACTGAAATTTCTACTTTGTCTAAGAAAATAAAGACACTAAGAACCGTTAATATTTAGTAATATTCAGGACTTATGCTACTGTATGAGGGATGCCACATGAGGGAGGGCAGAGTCAGGAACCAGATTTTCCAAATTTCTCTTCTGTGGCGAGTGTGCATATGTGTGAGTATCACCGGGTAATTGGATTTACAGACAATATTGTCAGCTTATATAGAAACAGTTGCTCAAATCCAGCTGAAAAGAGACTGAAGAGAAATGATACCAATACTGACCTCCTTCCCCGAAAAGCCTGTCTTTCAAGAAAATGCAGAAATCTTATTTACCCAACTCACAGGTTTCTTTACCATTCAAAAAGTCAAAACAATTATTAATCAGATCTGAAAGGAGCCCCAAATCACCGAAATGACCTAGTGAATCATTTGAAAATAGGAACTTCCATCCTCCTCTGTGCTAGTGTCCACCCTTCCAGCAAACGACCACTGCACCTTGTGAGGTAGGCAAGGAAGAGATAGTCATCACGGCCGGAAAGGGACTTGAAGTACTGTTTATGGCAATCCTTTCAAGCATCCTTTCAAGTTGGGGGCTGCAAAGACGTCCCAGGGATTAAGACTGCAAGCTGCTCTTGCAAATGAACCATGTTCAGGTCCCAGCACCCACACTGGGTGGCTCACAATTGTCTGTAAGACAACTCCAGGGGATCCGATGTCATCTGGACTCTAGACACCTGCACTCATGTGCACATGCCCACAAAATGAATCTTTAAGAAGGTACTTTATACTGAAAACATTGATGCCGTGGGACAGAATTAGGATCTATGAATGTGCTCTAAAATTGTTATTGATAGGAGTGCATGGGTTAAATGTTTTCACTCCTCCAGAGATCAGCCTCCTCCCTAAATACAGGACACAAAAGGATTAGATAGTTTTGTAATCCCCCTTGCTTCTATGTAAGTGTAATTTAGCACTCACAGATTCACCATTCTCTATGTCTCCAATTCTTTGCCCCACCTAGTCTCTGGTGGACCTTTCTACTCCCAGCTTGTATGAGATCACTGCTTTGTTTCCAGAAATGAGAGATCATGTGATACTATTTCACTAGATATAATGATATCCAATACCATCGTCTATCATGTCATAAATGACAGGATTTCACTGTTCTTTATCACTAGCCAACTTTCATTTTGTGTGCAGACCACAGCTTCTTTATCATTTCTAAGGGATGCTTATGTGGGTACCACAGCTTTTTTTATCATTTCAAAGGGGATGGGCCCTTAGGTGTGGACCACAGCTCCTTTACCATTTCAAGGTGATGGATGCTTAGGTGGTTTCCATATTCAGGCAGCTGTGAGTTGTGCTGACATAGGGATGCAGATGTTTTTTTGACATATTGATTTCATTTGCTCTGGAAGGTCCCCAGAAGTGGGACTGTTGGATCACATGGTAGTTCTATTTTTAATTATTAAATGATATCATATCAAGAATATGCATATTTCCTTTTTCCACATCTTTGCTGGAACATGCTACTTTCAGTCTTTTGAATAATATGCATTATAATTTATTTTATTTTAATTTTGGTTTTGATTTGATCTCCATGACAACTAATAATTTGGATCATTTTTCCGTGTGCCCAGTAGCCATTTACACATGTTCTTTCAAGGAATCCCTGTTGCCCATTTAAAAATAACTACTTTTCTATTGAGGTTTTTGAGTTCCTAATATGTTGCAGATGTAAATACACTAGTGAGTATTTTCCCCGGTTCTGTAGGTTGCCCCTGTTACTAACTATGCCGTTTGTTGTGCATAGTTCTACACTTCAGGTTTAGTACGTAACTAGTTCACTAAGAATTCTTAGGGCAGACCCAAGCAGCGATTTCCCTCCTTTTCACACTCCTGTCTCCTTTCCTTCCGCATCTCTTAGCTCAGCATTTCCAAATGCCCACTAAACATGAAATGGTTTGCTTAACTTGGAATAGCTGGGAGCATGGCAAGTATGTTCCCTACTCTCTGGGGTTGGTACAGGGAAGAATACAAGCTATTTCTTCAGCCACTTCACTGGCCCAATGTGATATTTAGGATCATCATCAACCCAACCAGATTTAGGATCAGCCAGGAGACTCATCTCTGGGTGGCTCTGGGAGGGCGTTTCCAGGGAGTTTTGACTGAGGGGGAAAGTCCACTCTAAATGTATCCTGTGGGACCAGTCTGAGACAACAGGAAAAGGAATAGGGAAGCCTGATGAGCACCACCCCTCTGTTTCCTGACTGTGGACACCATGTAACCAGCCACCTCACCAGCCTGCCACCATGCCTTCCCCACCATGATACACTGTATTCCTTCATACTCTGAGCCAAACAAGCCTTCCCTCCTTAAGTAACCTTGCACAGACACTTGGTCAGAGTGAAGAGAAAGCGACCACACTTGGCTTCCCCCAGACTCTGTACAGTGTATACAGTGTACAGCATTTGGCTTCCCCAGACTCCACACAGTGTACAGTATGCAGTATATGGCTTCCCTCAGACTCATCACAGTGTATACACTGTACAGTGTATGGCTTCCACCAGACTCCGCACAGTGTACAGTGTACAGTGTCATCTGGCTTCCCGCAGATTCTGCACAGTGTACAGTGTATGGTCTCTGGGCTGTACTTGCCTCTGTCAGGAAACACACATAGCTACTTCTTCGGTGTGTATGAGACAAAACAGACTCCTGAGATCCCAAAGGGGTGTGATTCATCTATAAGGAAACTTGAGAAATGACCAGAAAGCTTGGTGTCATCTGTTTCTTGGACTACAAGCTGCCCAGTGAGGGTCGTATTCTCAATTCATTTTGTCACAGTGTTCATTGGGAGCCTCAAGGGTGCATATTCCCGGTGATGAACATTTCATCTTCTAAGTGACATTTCTGCAGCTCAGCTCTCATCCATCTTAATGTCCTTGCTTTTTATGTTTGCTAAACAGCTTTTCCCTCCTTCCAACTTCCATTTAGTACTGAAAAGCCTTTTGACATTTTCCCCCAATTTCCCCAAAGCATAAATCACACCTTGTCACTTTCAAATTTTTCAGTTTCTCTTCTACCAGTGGCATTTTCTCCCAGGTCTTGAAATTGATGAAGGTATGCTGGTTATTAAGGAAAGACTTGAACGACTAGCTAGCGATGCATCTCAGATTGAAAGGCCAGGAGCAATGACCCTTAATCTACCCACTTCTGAGTCATCATCTCAGTGCAACCGACTGGCATACTCTCATGAAATGCCTTCTGTGTGCCGGGCCCTCCTGGGAACACAAAGTAACTGAACCTTGTTAAGAGAATCTCAACCTCTCTGGTTTTGAAAGCTTCACCATCCCCACGAGGATGAGCACAAACAAGTTCTGTATTCCAACATAAGCCAGTAGTGTGCCAAACACTCTGCACCAGGTGCCACTGAGTCCTCGTTGGAGCACCTTGGGCTAGCTTTCAGTAGCTCCACCTTACAGACGGAAAAAGTACAGTGTGAGATAGCCAATTAACATTTCTCGAGACTTTAAGCCCGCGCTGTGTGGTGGTGGTGGAGTCCAGCAGCTCTGGAATGTACTATTACATTATGAGAGTTCTTACTGTGATAACTTACTGAACCAGGAATGGAAATCTATGACAAGTAGGACCAAATTCTCAATACCATTGACCACAAAGACCAATTTTTGCCAGCAGCCAAACTGGGCTATGTTGAAGATCTCGGAGGAAGAAGAGATGAGAACTCAAATGTGTGGCGGGGGAGAAAGCAGTTCTGTGGAGAGACAGCAGAGAAGGGAGGAGGCGAGGAAAGGTGAGGGCAAGGAGATGTAGACAGCCAAGTTCACATGGTAGCCACCTGAGCCCTACTTCTTTTTAGCTTCAGGCTCCACCCCTACACAAGTACACCACCAATTTTGTCTTGAGTTCTTTCTATGGAATATGCATATAAATAGTTTGTGAACTTTTAACTCTTCTTTGAGTGTTATCTACAACTCCCTCACTTTCTCCTTAAACTCTGTAAAATGCGTTTTTCCTTTTTATTTATAATAAAAAGAATCTTGATGGCACAAAGTAGTGTTCTCATTCATTTGGACAGGTGGATAGATATACGGGAAAGAACACGAATAGCTTCAGGAAAGGCTTCCAGAAGGGAAAGCTGAGTCAGAAAAGAGTGGGAAGGAGAAAAGCAGGGTGTCGTTTTCAGGAGATAGGCCACGGTAGACAAGATGGCCAGTAAGAGCTGATGTGGCTCACTCTAGCAGAGTAGAAAACGGTCCTGTGAAGTGTAAGATGAGATAGGGGAAAGATATAGCAGCTAGGGTGTGCTCCACAGGGGCACTTTGTATGTGGCATAATCAAGGTAGTATGGCCAATATAGTCATCTTCTACTCACACAAGAATGAATTGGGTGAGTTCCTGATGGCCATCCCATGGAAGTGAACTCACAGTATCCTACAGGTTGTCATAATAATGTAGAATTTAAGTTTTTAAATTTTATTTTTTTTACTGTAGCCTGAATTCATTTTCAAATATAGGTGTTTTATTCTTTTTTTTAAACATTAAGTCCTGTTTGATGGTTAATTGTATATGCCAACTTAATTGAGCCATGAGTTGCACCGATTACACATTATTTCTGAGTATGTCTGTCACTTTGTTTCTGAGCATCAAGGAGATGAACTTTTGAAATGGTCAAGTGGTAGGTAGATTATCATTCCCAAATTATGTTAATAAGAACCTTGAGGAACCATAATAGAACTAAAGGCAGAAGAAGAGGAAAACTGTTTAAAATAAAATTTGTGTGTGTATTTGTGAATGTGGGCCCACATGCCACTGCATGCCTGCACGGGTCAAAAGACAACCGTGGGTATTGATCCTCTCCTTCCAGATTAGACACTCTCTTGCTGGTCAGTACTGTGTAGTCCAGGCTGGCTGAACCATAAGCCTCTGGAGTTCTCCCAGCCTTGCCTCTCATTTTGCCATAGAAACACTGGGATTAGATACACATACTATCAGTTCTGGCTTTACATGACTTCTGGTGTTTCAGACCCAGGTCCTCATGCTTGTGTGGCAAATGTTCTTGACCCACTGAGCCATCCCTGCAGCTTGTTTGAGTTGGGACATCTTATCTCATCTTTACCCACGTCTGCACTGGGAAGCCTACTATCACAGGTGCAGGGCTCATTAGATTTCTTGTCCTTCATAATAACACACACCACCTTCCCATAACCCCTCTCTCTCTCTCTGTAGTATCTTTGTTCAAATGGCTTGTGTGATTAAGTCCCCATGCTTTGTGGCTGAGGAGATGGCTTAGGTGGTAAAGTGCTAGCCTTGCAACCCTGAATACCCTTAAATCCCCAAGACTGATGGGATTCCAGAGTTCGTAAGGCAGAGATAGGTGACCTCTGGGCTTGCTGTTCTGACAGCGTAGCTTATTTGGTGAGTCCCAGGCCAGTAAGAGACCTTGTCTCAATAAAGAAAGATGTGGATGGCACTTGGGGAAAGACACGCAAGGGAGTTCCCTGGACTCAACATGTATGTCTACATATATACAATAAAAATAAAATTAAAAACCTATATTTGGTAAAAGTGGAATTTGGAAACTGAGAGAACAAATGGTCGGAGGGCCACTCAGCAGATCAACTTCAGGCAAGACACTGGCACATATGATTTTGAAAATGTTGGTGTTTTGGTCATCTAATTCTGGGAGCTTTGAACAATGTGGAATCATTGGGTATGGTTGGAAACAACCAATGTGTGGCTCTAAATGTCTCCCTGGAGATACTGACTGTTGTAAAGACCCAGCCATGAAGGAACTGAACTGTCTCCATTTGGACTTAGAGTTACTCACTCTAGAACGCTCTTGTGTAAAGCTCTGGTAGAACCCTCTATCTGTATTAAAATAACCCCGCATGGTTCTGGGAGCTTTCTACACCAGAAGCACACCATGCTAACACTGCCAGCCAAGTCCATTCTTCATCAGTCATTCGTGAAAACATTCTTTAAAGTCTACTTGAAAGATTCGACACGGGCATAAGCTAAAATCCTAGCAAGCTGCTGTGCGAGCTAGTCATCTAGTTATAGTCACACTGCCAATTTTACTTCAAAGGCCTTATTCATCTCCAAACTACACTTTCTTTCTTCCTTACTAAAGTAAGAGGCCTTCTGACTTTCTGGAGAGCAAAGCCTGTGAATGGAGTTTCCTAGCCCTATCCTATCCTATTTGAAGAGAGAGAATGACCATGCTGTCTATTTATGTTTTAGAGGAAACAGTGACTTGGGATAAGAAGTAAGAGGAGACTGGAGGTTTTGGTGATAATGAAATATAATAGTTATCCTTTATCAAATTTACTAAGTAGCCCATTTCATGCTGTCAATCATGCTATGAAACATATGGTATTATTTATGAAATGCGTGTGTGTGTGTGTGTGTGTGTGTGTGTATTCGGGGGATATAAAAGTCTTGCCTTCATACTTGTGTGGCAAGCACTTTATGCACTGAGCTATCTCTGTAACCCATTTGTGAAGTTTTACAGAGAACAAAACAGATGTAGGGAAAGATGTGGTAACATTTCCCAATGTTACTTGACATCATTTTCTTCTGAAACTTGCATGCAATGGAAAGAGAAGATGGGTTCTAATTTCCTGGGGCACTTCAGGGTGACAAAGCTACCACAGGGAACACAGTGGAAGGTCAGGTGGAAGGGAACGTGTGCTTCCTACCAAATGAAATCAAGTTCCCAGACTTAATAAACAAACAAAAAAAACCTTTTTAAGGGTTGAAGAGATGAATCAGTATTAAGAGCACTGGCTGCTCTTCCAGAGGACCTGGATTCCATTGCCAGCAGCCACAAGGCAGCTCACAAATGCCTGCAACCCTCGGGCCAGGGGATCCAACGCCCCTCTCTGGCCTCGGTAGACATTAGACATGCACCAAGCACACAGACATACATACAGGCACAACAGACATATATAAAAAAATAACTAAATAAAAATTCAAAATCCCTCAAAATTAAAAGATGAAAATAGATGGCAAAGGTATGCTTCTTAGTTGATTTTTGTGTTCTCTAGCCTACTTCCTTATTGTTTTTCCAAATGTTAATTTAATGAGATGCAAAGACAGCATAGTTTCTTGGAACTACTGAGCATTTTATATGAAATGAATAAGGTGAGGTTTACAAAACTACCATTTCTATCAAGAGAAGGATTTCATTTCTGTTTTCCTAGTGTTGGGAACATCTGTGTTTTCCAGTTTTATGTCCTCAGGCTCAGATTTTATACTCTGATTTGCATAGCTCCTGTTGAAGAATTGGGCCTGATGTAATTAAGTCACTCTGCAGAAACTTGGGAGGACATAGAGAAGAAGATAGCAGACAATTAAAATCACTCAACCACTTAGAACAACAGGCTCTTGGGCTCCCCTAGCCAGCACACTTATGATGTATGCTGTAGGAATTCCATGTAAAAGCATGAATAGAAAAACCATATAAGGACTGTGCTTCCCTTTAATGACTGTTACTCCAGCTCACCTCTCTGATCATCAGGGTTCCTTCTCTGGAAATGCTGCTGCCAAAGGTGTCAGCATGCGAAGACTCCAGCCCATGTGTCCCGACCATTCCCACATTGTACTGCTCGTTACTCCCTGGAGCTCCTGTTGGTCTGAGAAGAGAAGGAACAACAGGCACACAGCAAGGTATAAACTCATCTTAAATGAAATGCCACAAAATGTAAATACCATTTACTGCCCATATCCACTTCTTAGAGTGGCAAATGCATATGACATAACTTGTGTGATTGTTGCAGTGACTTTAGATTGGGGTTTCCATTTCTGCAGGATCGTGACCTACATTGCACCCTATTCTTAACTCAGACTGTGAGTGATTTCTGCTCTCCAAGGAAAAAATTGATGCAGTCAGCATCCAGGCTTATGAGGCACTACTGAGTCCCCCAGTCCCTTGACCTTCTGTGACAAATGGCCACCCTGATCTGACTTTGCACTTGCTATTTCCTCTGCTTGGCTCTTGGCTGGCTCCTTCTCATTCCTTTGTTTTTATCCCAAGGGACTGATCTAGAACACAATCTCAAGATCCTTGTCCAATCTCACTAGCCTTCACTATTCTTATTGTCATTTGTGATTCCTTTGTTTAAGATTCCTGTGTGTGCATATGTGGGGTGTAAGTGGGGAGCATATCATGTGAGAGGGACTGGAGTTGGGTTTCATCCTAAAGAAAGTCATCTACTTCCTTTGAGACACAGTCTCTTTTGACCTGGAACTCACCAATTAGGCTGGGCTGGTTGGTCAGTGAGCCTGAAGGATCCTCCTGTCTCTTGTCATTCAAGAAGGATTAAAAGCAATGCAACTATGCCTGGCATTTTTACATGGGTTCTGCGAATTGAACTCAGGTCCTCATGTTTGCAAGCAAGCACTTTATTGACTGAATCATATTTTTGGTCCCTGGGAGTTTCAATTCTTTAGCCTGTAATCTCTTCATTTCCTCCCTCTTCATTTGAACACATGCTTGTATTTTTGCTTATCAGTACACATCCAGGTCAATACCAACCTGATTTATTCATGTTCTGTGACCAAAAGTGTGTGGTATGGTATCTTTAGCAAAAAGTCTTGCCATCAAGTTCTAGTGGCAATGGCAACGTTTGGGCGGGGCCTCTGATCAACAACTTGAAGGGAGGTAGCCCACACCTGAGCTTCTTATTTGATAACCTGTGGCTTCTGGGAAGTGCATTAAAATTAGTAAGCTATATACATATACATTCATATGGTATGTATAAATTGATATCCTATACATATGAAGTTTATGACATAGTAGGTGTCTACATTTGTTTTCAATCTAGGCAGTATACACCTAGTTTGTAGCATAGAGCATAAAAACTGATCATCCGATAAATGGGGGTTTGTGCTATTTATAGTGACAGCTAACTGTCAGATTCAAGCAGTATTCAGCACTTTCCTACAATCTCTATATGCAGACTGTACTGATGCACATAATTCCCAGGTTTCTCTCGCTATTGTGTTATGTATTTCCTAGAGATCAACGATAATCTGAGGATGACATATTCACCCAGGAACCACCAGATCTATCTAGCAGACACATGGAAGAACTTTCAAGGGTAAGGCGACAGAGCACATATTTAAAAAGTCTCTTAATCTTTTTATGTATTTAAAACTCATGAACATTTGTCGCTTTAGTCTCTTAATTCTTTTTATGTGTTTAAAAGCCATCAATGATTTCTGGGTGTGATGGCACATGTCTTTAATCTCAGGTTTCAAGAGGAAGAGACTGATGATGTCTGTGAGTTGAAGACCCAGCCTGATCTACTTAAGAGATCCTGTCTCAAAAAAAAAAAAACTAAAAAAGACACTGCCAGCTGACATGCCAGTGTCAACAGGGAAAACCGACACAGGGCATCACTACTAGATGAAGAATACAGGCAATTAATGGCTGCTAAAAGGGAAGATTAGTCTTCCCTAGGGATTAATCACCTACTTGGTTTCTAATACCAAGTGGTCAGCCTTAAAAACATACATGCAACACTAGACACACTCAGCAGGCTGGATTCATATATTAATTCACACATGTATTTAACAAGGAAAAGAAGCTATGGATTTAAGAGGGAATGAGGAGAGGGTATGGAAGGGGTAAGAGGGGGGTAAATAATATAATTAAATTCTAATTAAAAATAAAATAAACTATAACACAAAACCCAACCACCAACATCACCAAGACCTGTCTGCAGTTTCTTAAATATGATGACAGTCTGAAGATATAATAAAATATTCATTTCCAAGAACCAAGAAATACACCAGGTGTATGCTAGCAGGCACACTGTCAGAAACTTGCTAAGGATGAGGGAAGTAGCTGAGTGACAGAGGGCTTGAAGCCCCAAGTTCAAACCCCAGCAGTGGAAAAAGGATTCTCATCCAAAATGGAGAAGCAAAATGATGAGAGTAAATTTGGTTATAAAAATGTACAGTGAGAGTAAAATAGGATATGAAAATGTAGAGTGAAAATAAAATCAGATATGAAAATGTCTAGTGAGGCCTAATTTCAAAGTTCCTCACTTGGAGCAAAGGACTGAATGAACTAAAATATGGATAAGAATTGATATGTTTGGGATAAAAAATTCAAAAGCCTACTTTCAATGTCACCGTTTCTGTCCCAGAAAGGAGCTATTAGTATTGACAGTGTTCTCAAACATAGGAAAGCCACTGTTGTGGTCATTTTGGTGTATTACTAGATTGGTAAGTCAAATAGATCTCAAAACAAATGCTTCTTCTCTTATTCTTGGGAATTTAATCTTATCTGTGTTGTTCCTTTTCTAATGGGACTTAAGTTCTTGTTTCAGAGAAGATGGCACGAACCCAATAGACCAATCTACCAAGTGTCCATCAGGCATTCTCTGCTACTGCCACAGGCTTAGGCTGAGATTAGGGATCCCTACCAGGTTGACACTGTCAGGTCATGGTCTCCATTATCACAGTCTCATTTCTTTTTAAATTCTTTGATAAAGTTCTGACTCTACTCAAACATTTTAATCAGAGAAAGGATGGATATGAATACATCTTCGTTAAAAAGAGTTTTAAAAGCCTACTTCCAGCAAGAAAAATTCTCAGTAAACTCCCTATACATTTAGTTAATCCTTTCCCATTCTTCATTTTATCATTACTTTAGTAAAATAACTATCAATGGTCCATTTCTTTTCCATGTAAATTTCATAGCAAAGACTTAGTGCAATAATGTTTTTGTCAGTATTCTCCTCCAAATACGTTTGTGGTCACCTCTATCAAGTCTGGGTCTATTTTAAAGGTTTAAATTTTACTGAAAGGCTTATGTGTCAATAGCAGATACTACTATGCATACCATCCCCCACTGTTTAATATTTGCTAAACATTTTCAGCTAAGACTACATTTTGTTTTGCTTGAGTCAATTTTTATATTTTGACTGTTATAGAACAGCACTGCCTCATCTGTTAAGAGTTTTAGACTATTTCAAGTTATATTTTACATTATTTTAAATAGCAATATTCCCTATAGATGGAATAAAAGGCAGTATGTATTCATTTTTTAGTTAATTTGCTTCTAATATAGTAAGAAACTCCTCTTAGCTAGCACAAGACAGCCCTGTTACATAGGATCATTTGATTATGAACGCTTTGCACATATATATTTTAAGTTCTTGCTTCTTATATTAACTGTCTCTACATGAGCTATGCCACCACCATGTGTTCAACATAATGCAATTGCATTTGATTGCAGAAAATATCCAAGACTCTCTACCTATTCAGATCACCTCCCTACACACTCCTTTTCAAAGGGCAAAGCTCACCCCACGGTTCCCAGTCAGGGTTGAGGACCCTGTTTCAACACAGCAGGCCAGAGGCCATGCCGCTTATTTTTCTTGTTCCCTGACTCTTCTCTGGTCTTCCTTTCCCTTTGCTATTCTGTGCCCACTCCTTTGTGCCCATTTCTTCTTAACTGTAAGAGGTGTCTGAGACGCTGCCTCATTTCATATAATCTTTTATCAGGCTCCAATCTAGGGTCTTGATTATGAACACTATTTATCCTGTAATAATAAATAAATATATCTAAGCTCTTTATTCAGTCACTCACTTTTCTGCTTCCAGTTGAATATTTATGTACTGGGTGGCAGTTGAGGTCATGACCTTCCTTGTGTAGTATTTATTTGGATGAGTAACTTTAAAACCATTAGTTTATTGTGTTCAACATTCTAGACTCCTTTCTCTCATTTTCTCCAATGTTCACCTAGGCCCTTCTTAAATACATCTCACACATCTCAAATATTTTCTGTTCTTTTTTTTTGAAGTGACTCAATGAGGCTGGCATCCTTTTTCACTAATGGCAGTCTTCTTCAAATTCACTGCACAACTGACCCTGTTTTTTTTTTCCCTTCCAACATTCAGTAGCTCGCTGTCAACTGTGGCTAAAAGTTAAAAGGTCTTTATGATGGTTTTAAGGTATTATTGGGTCCTGTGTCTAATGGAATTTTAAAAGCAAATCCTACCTTATTCTAACTCTGGCAGCATTTAACTTACAATTGTTTTCTGTGTATATTACATTATAAAACCCTCGGTGATTTAAGTCTGACCTATTTCCCTGTCCACCTCCTTCTTATTTTCTGCTTCCCATAGATAATACAGTTTCTAAACACAGGGATGGCTCCCCTCTCTGCTTCCCCATGGTATCAACACCTGGTCCTTCAGTGGTCAGATCTCATCTGTGTGTGTCCTTGGTGTTGTGTGATGAGTGTCACATCCCAGAGGCACCTAATGAGTATTCAGTACACGCCTTGAAGGCTTTTCTTAGTGTCCCTAGTATGGATTTTATTTAGGGTTATGATGACTCTCAAAGCATAGGTCTTTTGTAAATTGATGAGTGACTAGCTATAAGGTAATCAATAGCATGCTTAAATGTATTAGATAACCAATGCCGGCTTCTGCCATTGTATATCTAGAATGTGCCAACTAGGATGGGCCAACATAATATTAGAAAATCCAGTGGTTAGTATGGGAAAGTAAAATAATTCTGTTCAGGTAGTCATAGGACCTTACAGTACAAAGAATAAAATCTGAGGTATAGACACTTAGAAAATAGGATTGGTTGGTGCTGGAGAGATGGTTAAGCAATTATGAGTACTTGCAAATTTTTCAGAGGACTGGAGTTCAATTTCCAGAACACACATGGTAGCTTACAATGATCCCTAAGTCTAGTTTTAGGGGACACACTCATCTGATTTCCACCAGGCATGAATACAGTGTACAATCACACATGCAGGCAAAACATTCATATGTGTAAAATAAAATAAATAAATTAAAAAAACTTGAAAATGTAACAGGATGTCAAAGACTTCCAGTAAGCATGTAAAGGGTGACACAGGAATCTGTTTTAGACACATCATAATTAGGCACTGCCTCAGCAACCACAGAATTCCAAAGAGGGGCAGTCTACAGTCTGTCTCATTAATCTCTAACACTTGTTTCCAAACAGAAACATAGTCTGAGAAACAGTCCCAGACAAGAGGCGTCTACGAAGTTGTGACAACTACATGCAACATGGTAGAGGAGAAGGCCATTAGGGTTTAAGCTAAGCAGGCTTGTCCAGCCTGATGAGTCCAAGTCAGTGCCGCTCATTAGCATAACACATGCAGTGGAGATGTGGAGAGTGTGATGGGGCAAAAGCAGTGAATGCCCTTACCGCCTACATTTTCCTATAAAACTGAGACTACCCTAAGAAAAGCAATGCTTATTAACAATAAAACAATGGGAAGAAAAAACCCAAACTAAAAGTGACTACGGATAAAACAATAAACATCACCTCTTATTCCATTAACTATCCATTGTTCTAGAAGTAATTTTTCTTAATATAGAGATTGGGTAGGAAAAATAGCTATCCAAAAATCATATGAAGATTATAAAAGACAAATCAAATCAAAATAAGCAATAAGAACCCACCATTGATTCAAATGAAAAAATACAAGAAATTTCCTGTAATTAGAGTACTAGTTTGGAAGAATAACTCCCTCTAATAGGATTTGTCAAAGTGCTCCTGGAGGTACTGATTTAATTCAATTCAATTCATGCTTTTTTTAGGCACCTGCTTTCTGAAATGTCCTTGGTTTGGCAGAGGGTAATGGGGAGAAAAACTGGGTGTCATGTGACTTCTCAACTAAAGTGCTTCGCCTCCAGAAGAGCATAGGAGTGCTACAGACCCATTCCCATACAAGGCAGGACAGGACTTCAGGAAGAAAGAGGTGAGGTGGCTATTATGGCTCCGAGGAAAGGGACGCTGAAGGTTTCAGTTTGGCTGGGACATGTTAGGACAATCATTGGTTGCAGGAATGCGAAAGTGTGTAGGAACTGAGGGATAAAGAATGGACAGTCACCCCAGAGCATGAAAAGGTACAGGAGGGCAGAGGTCTTAAAAGGAAGCTGAGGAGGTGAGCAATGTGTGGATACGTGAACAGAAGGAAAGAAAAGAAAACTGTGTGGCTCTCATCATCTAGATGGCATCGTGACATTGACAAAATGAACTGTATTAGGACTACATCTGGACTTTACCTTTTTATTAAAGATTATTTTCATTTATGTGTATTTGTAAGTATATGCCACATGTATGTGGGTGCCTGTGGAGGGCAGGAGAGGGCAGGTGTTACAGGCTATAGTGAGTCATTGGATTTAGACATCAGGCCTATATTCTCTGGAAGAGCAGTGAAGTTTCTTAATCACTGAGCCATCTGGTCAACCCACAGCCTGTGCCTTACTGTCTAAAGTCTGGATTGGGACTGCAGGGAGGGCACTGATACAAAGGGTACCTCTCCAGCTTGCTCCACATGATGCAAATTGACCCTGTACTTCCTATCACATAAACCTTTTTCTTTTCTTGCTTATAAGAATAGTCCATGTCTAATCATATATTTGGTGATATACATACATATAATATAATATACATACCTATAATAAAAGTTCCTTAGAAATTTATATCAGTAATTGCTTATGCTCTTGGGCCTTCCCCACAGGAGGTGTTGCAAAATGCACTTAGTTACTTGGAGAACTCAAACTTAAAGTTCACTGTTACAGATTACATGGTATATAATAGTATGAAGCTGTACTAGGATGATCTCTCATTTGTACACTGGAATCCAGGGCTGCTTGTGTGAAAGCCTGGACTTCCATTTCTGAGAAGCCTGCTTTGTGTGCACTTCGTGGGAGTGAACTGTGTTACAATGTATTTTTATTTTCTCTAAAAATATATAGCATAAAACATGAAAGTTTATCTTGACAAAAGAAAATAAAGGTGGCAAGAACATGTACACTAAGAGACTGTAGCTCCAAAGCATTCAATTTGTACAGAAGTAGCTGTTTTATAATGGAGTTTTAATAGTATGAAATTTCTAAGGCATATAAGCCTTGTGTTGGAGGAGAACAGACTGTGTCTGTCTTAAATGCTCATGAAAATACATCTATAGTTCAGACCAAACACACACACACACACACACACACACACACACACACACACACACACACACACACACCTGGCCCTATTTTGTGTTCTTATGTGTCTTTCTATTATGTTACTGTCATGCATGTCTTTCTTTTTGATCAGGCCATAGTCTTGCTTGCTGTTTGCAGTCTGGTCCTGCCATTTAGATCCAGTGTGATTAAGTCATGGCTACTTTCATGGTTAATTTGGAAATTTACTGGAAAGTTGCTCAATTCTAGACACACCAAAGTCTTCAGAGAGATGGACAAGCCACTATCCCATCTTCAGGGACCTCCACAGTTCAAAGAGGGAGACAAACATGGCAACAATCCTGACTCAAGATATTATAGTTAAACAGGGCTACAGGGGAAATAATAGTGACATTGGAGAAGGGGGAGGAGGGGACAGGAATGGGTGACTCTTTACAGCAGGCTGTGCTGAGGATAGGTGATTTCCAAAGGGACAGATGAGCAGATACAGAGAGAAGCACAATGTGGTTTATTTATGGGACATTAGAAGGTTGTCCTTTAGAGGGTGGAGAGAAGACATCATGCATAGAGCTACAAAGTACGGTAGTGGCTTAGAATGTTATTTTATACTACACTTTTCCACAAATTACCTTCAGTTGTCCCAAATGATTAGATTATCTTGCATTCTTCCATGTATAATTTATCTCTCTAAAGAAGAGTATAAGTTTTGAAGGTAGAACATAAGTACATATTCTCCAAATGTTTCAACTCCCTTAGCATAGTATTTAACTGTAGTGGGAATTATAGGAATCTTTTAATTTCATCGTTAGCTATTATCCCAGCAGTTCTATGCCCAGTATTTATAGAGAACTTTAAGCATCTGTTAGAAGAATTGAACAACGCTGAGTCAAGACAAAATGGAAAAAATCAGCACATTTTGTAGAGATGTTCTGCCTTGGTAGTCTTGCCTCTAAAACAATTTCATTTGCTATTAAAAGACAATTTAGCATAATTTGCTTCAAAATGCCACATCTTAGCATATTTATAGTTGTTAATAGTTGAATAGCCAATAAAAGCATGGATTTATAATGATGGTTATTGGATTTGCCCCTCAGTCTGCAGACTGGCCACCCCTGTCTTCCTGTAGTCTATTGAGCAGGATAATATTTATGATCTTAAGACATCTTCTTTCAGTAGAGTCAGTATGTTCTGGTGATCAAGATTGATAGATAACCCAAAGAAATGAAGAGGAATGAGAGTGAAGATGGGGAAGTTGGCATTACATTTCACCAAAGTTTTGGTTAACTCAGGTAATGACACCTCATGCTTATTTTGGGAGGAGTTAAAAAAGCAAAAAAGAATGAGATGTGAACAATTAACCCAAGAATCCACTACAATTAACAAAACTCATTGAGATCCCTATTCATGCTGAGGGAAGAAAGAAAAGTAAAAGCCAGTATGATTTGGGGAAATCTAGGAAGACATACATAGAGACAAACAATATACAAATATAAGACTCTGAAGAATTTGACAAGAGTACGTGAAGATGCTGGTGATAGAAAAAAGGGATCAAGGTCTGGGGAGATGGCTCAGTCAGTGAAATGCCTGCCATGTAAGCATGAAGGCCAGAAGAGTGGTACATGCTTGAAATTCTGACACTAAGGAGGTGGAGACTGGAGAGCCAGTGAGCACCAGGCCAATGAGGGAACTTGTCTCAAAAAAGGTGGATAGCATCTGAAGAATGACATCTAATGTTGACTTCTTGCCTCCCTATGGACATGCACAAACATATAACGTACAGACTGCACACATGTTAACATCAATGCATATGTACATACATAATACATACACATACAAAAAAAGAAAGAAAAATAATCAAATAAAAAAACACTGAAGAGGATGGAATGAAAACTAGAAACACTTAGAATGTCCTTGAATGGTTATTTGCCTCCTGCTTATTTCATTGGGGTGCTAACACCTGTTGCCATGTGCATTCATTTTTGCTTATTGGTGGCCATGGTGGTAGGTGGAGTATGTCTACTGCTTATAATATCACTGTCCATGATCTTATTCTCTTATTTAAAGGTGGAGAGACATGTGCCAGTGGTCTTGCTGTCGATATTGTTTGTCTTGGAGATGAAAAGAAAAAAGAAAGAGTCATCTAAAAGACAGCAAGTCCAATAGTAACAGGCAGGCAGGGCACATGCAGGCATAGAAATGCTACTTGCTCTAGGTGACTGAGTCTATGCAGAGAGATTTATAGGACTATGTTTTCATAAGAACTCCATTCCCCAAAGCCAATTCACTTTGTCAGTGACCTATGTGTGATTTGAATTTAGCTAATATTTCTCATGCTTTGGTTTGGAGACCCAGCCCATTCCTGGTCTTCATTTGAGAAACAGTCTAGATCCAGGAATGGTGCTACGTATCTGTAGTCCCAACTACTCCTGAGGCTGAGGCAGGAGGATAGCTCAAGCATAGACATTGAGGGCAAGCTTGGGAACAACCTACAAACTCTATCTCAATACAACAACAGTCCCTTACATCAGTCTGGGGATGTCACTGACAGCCACTGTCCCATCGTGTGTCTCACTCTCCCCATCTTCTTCCTCTTCCTCACTACTCTCTGATTCCTCGCTGGAGGAGGAGTAGTCAGTTACTTTCTTCAGTGGGCGATTTGTTTCTTCAATCCGGAGTTCTCTTAATTCTTTGGCTAATGCCGTCAGATCCTACAAAAGAAAAGTTTGTAAGCACATGAAATGTAGTTACAACCAAAGCTGTATCTCCCAGCCAGTCATTGCTCCAGCTTAAGCAACAAGAAAAAAAGAAAGAAAGAAGCTCTATAGAGAACTGTGACAAACACAGTTACTGTATGGAACTAAGAAAATGATGTTTGTGGTGTGGAGAAGCTAAGAGACAGGAGATGAAATAAAATTCAAACTTAGTTCAAAACCAATAACTAGACCAGGACTGACTGTGCATGTGCATATGTGTGTGTTACACTGGAACTGACTACGCATGTGCATATATGTGCATGCTGTGCTGTGTGCAGGCTCATACATACAAACATTGTGTCTTCTTTCTATTTTGAAAGGGTGAGGTTGGTCATCCTCAGAGTTGAATGAGAAAATAAATGGGATTAAAATTTGTTCCCCAAGTATTGTGAAATTCCTGGCCAAAGCCCTGATGATGGCCTTTCTTCTCTTATGAGGGCTCCTGGACCAAAAAAAAAAATCTAGCATCATTCATAGAGCAGAGCAGTTGCCAAGGTTCATGTGGTGTGAAGTCATTCTCCAAGTAACTAAGGTACCACATCAAATGACAGCCCATCCCAAATCCTACTACTACTGAAATTCTGAGCCACAGGAATAAGCTAATCAAGAGGAAGGACAGACAGACAGACAGACAGACAGACAACAAACAAACAGCTCTCTTCCAGAACAACAGGTGTTTCATTTTTAAATTTTAAATTCCAGTCACCTGGCAGAAACCCTGACAATAAATGCTGAAATGAATGTGTAAACACCCAAAGGAAGAGATAGTTTTCCAGTTTTCCATGAGTGTGATGAAACCTTTAGCCTTATGGATGTGATGAGGCAGAACTTAGTTACCAGGCATAGTGCAAGACAGTGTGCTGGACGTCTGACTACCTTTAATGGACATGCTTTCAGAGCAAGGCGGAGGGAGGCAGTTCTGCAGAAGCATGGCCGCTCTACTTGGCATGGGTTAAACTGCCCATGGCACGAAGCATGCAAATGAGGAAAAAGCAATTTGACATTGGTCTTACCATTTCTCCCTATTTAGGAACCCATGTGGGAATCAGAGCATTCAGCGAGAGACAGGGAGTTAGGGAGAAAGAAACTCATTGAAAAATACTAAAGCCCACATTTTTTTTCCAAAAAAGTATTTGGCCATATTCTCTCTTTATTTCAGTCCAGAAATGTATTTGTCCAATTCACCTGATGTATCATTACTCTTGGTGACGTAAAAGATGTTAAGTAATTGATCTCTATTAGAAGAAAAACTATAGTAAGCATGCAGAGTTAATGGCAATTATAATTTTGAGGCACCCATATGCTGTGGCCTTGCCATACTGTGGCCACATGACAAACACCACAGTTTTGGTTAACACTCACAGTGCTTAACTGAAATTTAGGACATTCAAGCTGTTAAGTGAACAAGTCAGAGTCATTTCCTTTTAATTTCATGTCTCAAATGGAAAGCAATAATGTCCTGAAGCCACTGCATTAAGGCCCCATGAAGGGGAGGCTTCTGGAAATCCCAACTGCATGTCCTACTCATGAACACACTTGCTGGGGCTTTTCTATACATGTACACTCCCTCAAACACACAGCCCTAGTCTCCGCCATCTGTGAAAGTCAATATAGAGTTGGATCCAAAAGGCTTAACAATGTTTAAAGAAAACATACTATGAAAGGGGAAAGCCTTCACATGCACATAGAATTTTATGGCAATTTATTTCTATTTTCTTAGGCAATGCACCCAAACCAGGAAAGGCTAATATCTAGCTTTCACCCTTCTGCATATTTCCTCTTGATTGCTGTCGATACATTTATCTTTATCAAACAAAAAGAGTATGAAGAGCATGCTAGATGGGCACAATGGGGACAAACTGTTGACAGATTTGTCAAGACTCTGAAAGCAAGAGGACATGGTGAGCTTCCAAACTAGCAAAAATGACAAATTAGACACATTTATTGCATATTTAGATTTTATAAGGTAATACCATCAAAGAATATAACTAATATTTAAAATTTTACTTATTAATAACTATACTTTATTATAATTTAAAGAGAGAATATGGTTTAAAGGAGCTTGTTTCTACTATCAAAAAGTCTGAGTAAAATATAACACTACTACCATGACTTATTTAAATTAATGATACATTTTACCCCAGGCATGGCTTCCTTATCTCTGACAGTTCAGAACAAGATAAGAGAGTTTTAAAAAAATCTGATTTATTTAGAATTGTTAGTAAGTCCATAACCCAACAATAACATTGAGAAAATTCGACTTGTTAAAGTGACCTGCCTTTCTCTAAATACTGTATTTATCAACACTTTAAAATTATGACCTGCTTTATAATTTTGGTTTTAATCAGAATTTTTATTTCTGTGTTATTAAAAAGCTCTTTCCTAAAACATTAAAAATAATTGCAATTCTATTTCAGCTTAATTGGCAGCAGCTTGGAGAGTGGGACACAAATGAAAATTTCAAGGTAGCAATAATGAATAATCAAAAGTAATGCCCCCGAAGAGAATTAATCTCCCATTGCCAGCAGCCTTTGTGGCTAGCTGAACTTTTGTTCTTCATGGACGATACCATGGAAGAAAATGCACGATATCAAAGTTGCAGGAAATAGACATGATGCAATATTGTCACTGCTGGGTTTGGATGCATTTTCATACACTTTATTCTCTGACAATTCCAATTTGCTCTATATAATGAGTCTTTTATGGTAATTTATTGCCTGGGTGTCTGCAGCTAAAAAGTATTAAAAAGGAGAATAAAAGTGCTATTTAGCATGAAAATATTTGAGAACATAGTAACTAAGAAAGAGATATGGCAAAAATACTTCATTCTTTTTCCCTACAGTCCAATGGGAAGACAGTAGGAGGCTCCGCCCAAATGGATGTGTTTGATGCAGCATTTCTTAGTTTCTTCATGATGTAACTTTTCATTCTGGTGAGTTTGTTTCAACATCTCGCTTCAAAATATGCTCATTTAGGTTTCTTTTTTTTTTTTTAAATAATATAGTTGATTCAAATTTTACTCCAACTGGTTGAGTCATTATATTGTTAGCCAATTTTAATCTGGCCTTTCTTTTAAGTGTTGCATTTTCCCATTTTTAGGAAAGCTAAAGGAATAAAACTGAGTGTATTACTTAATTCAGTGGACTCATCTGAAGGAAAAAGAGTTCAGCTTACTAATTATTACTACCTTTCAACCTATCTATGGGTGATTTTAGAATTTTTCTGACTTCTTTTTACCCCAATGAAAATCTAACCCAGACACACATAGATCTCATGCCACACATTCAGTTATGGGAAAGTAAACGGTATCGGTTCTCAGAAGTTGTATTAAATAACAGTGTTCTAAAATGTCATAGTGCATTAGAAAGTAGTGCTAAATTAATGACTATCTTTTGGGATTTATTGCTATGAAAGATTAAACTCTTGAATTACCAATAATATGAAAAACGTTTCTAAAAAGATATTTAAAGACTTCTTTGAATTTCATTCTGGGTTATCTAAGAAGGGAAACAGTTGCAGAAGGAAAGTCATATTAAAACTTAGGGCTGGAGAGGGGTCACAGAGCTGAGGTCAAGATTTCTCAACAGTGGCTCCTTTAACATTTGGGCCCAGGTGACCTCTAACTGTGAGGAATTGCCCTGTGTGTTGTAGGATGCCCAGCTCCACCCTTTTTATGTATCCACAAGCTGCCAGTAGCTCTGCCTCCTACTCTCAAGTGTAAGAAACACAGTTGATTTCAAGTTTTGCTGAATAGCTCCTAAGTGAAAGCAGGGGAGCAATCAGGGCTAAGAGCTGCTGGGGTCGGTAGGACCCTAATCTTCCTGTGTTTTGAGTGGTCCAGGCCATAGATACTCAAGGGTTAGAGCTGTCAGTTCTCTGGGGGCATCTGATCTGGTACATAGCCCCAGAGATTTTGGCATGAGGTTGTCTACCTTCTGTCTCTAACTGGTGTGGTAGAGCATAACAAAATAAATGAAGTGATTTTCAAAAAGCCTAGAATATCCAGGGTTAATCAGATGAGACCTAGGAGAGTTTTTTCCTCATGATCGCTAGCTTGATACAAGTCTGGACCCTTAAGTTGTTTGCATGAATACTACTTTATTGGCAGCTAAGGCACCCAGTACCAGAAAATAATTTTCTGTCTTTACCTGCTTTGGGTGACTAATAGAGCTGGGATAGTCTCTCCACCCTTCTTACTACTATGAGGGAAAAGTAAGGCCATAGGGCAGAGTGATTATAAACAGTCCCCTGCGTAAACATGTGGAGGACATTACTTTGTAAACAGCAGGTCCTCAACCAGAAGAGTGACTTTCTCAATCACATAGAACAGTGCAATGGTCACAGCTTTGGTGAAGAACATCTCCCCAGAACCAAATTCCTACTCGCTCAAATCTGAACAGTTACTTTCCACATTAAAAAACACCTTTGTACACCTTTACTGTGGGTAAAGGCAGATAGATATTTTTCTTCCCATTCTACAGACCAGAAAACTGACTGAGATTATGAGACTAACCCTAGCCAGCATTCACTGAGGGGAGCCAAACTTCAAATGTAGCTTGTTGATCCCCAAAGCTGGTCCCTTTCCCATGATTCCACAGAAACGGACTCTGCAGAGCTACAGCCGCAAAGCCATAATGTGAGCCTCACATTCCATGCAAGGCACGCCTGTTTGGAACCACTGCTCTGTGCTGTGTTCATGCAGTCCTGACAGCAGTGAGGTGGCAGTCCTCAACTATCTATGAGGAACAAAGCCATGTGCTTTTCTAGTAGAAAAAATGTCTCCACAGACAAGGAACTAGATCACTCAACTCGTCCCGGTCCAGTAGCTAAGGTTGATCTTGTTTGTGGTGTTGTGACTGCCCCACAAAATTATTCTAACAGTACCCAGTAGCTCCTTGCTCACAAATCCCACACTATAAATTTAAGGTGTGCTAGAATTGTGTCTCTTTGCTTTGTAAAACCGCTGAGAGCCATCTCCTAGCAAGGTTGCTGAATACAGGTTTGGAAGGAGAAATCATACCATTAACAAAACACTTTGTTTGCCCAGTTGGGACACTGGAAAGCAGTATTTTCACTTAGTGAAGGGCCTAAAGCCCTTTGTGGGTGCATCTGAGGGTCTTGGGTTGGCTTCTGTTGAAGGGAATCTCCTCCCCAAACAAGGCTGTATATCAGAGGGCTTTTCCCACAATCCCACTGGCCTCCTTTCTCTATGTCAGCATCAGGAAATGGGTTTAATAGTCACATCTTATGAAAGCATGAACAAGAAAAGGCAATACTGACCTCATCTATAGCTTTTTTATAGCTCTGTGACAAGAGGAACCCAGTCCAGAAGAGTCCACAGGCAGGGAAAAGCCGGAAGAAAAGAAGCGGGTTAGACACAAAATCGGCATTGTTAGTAGAAAACTGACACAGACAAATAGGCAAAGAGAAATTCAAGCCATGGCGATGCAACTCCCTCCATTATTGCTTAGCATCCTCCTTCCTTAAGATGAAAAGAGCAGCAAATGAGAGACACTCATTCACAGGATAGTATCTCAGAACATCCAAATTAACTCTCTACTCTCAGTCAACATGCTCTTTTTCCCTCCCCTCCCCTCCTTGTTTATTTACTTATTGATTTGAGACAATGTTTCCTGCATCCTAGATTGGCTTTGAATTCATTATTCAGCCAAAGATGACTTTGAACTTCCGATCCTCTTACACCGTAGTATTAAAGATGTGTACCACCATGTCTATTTTATGCAGTGCTGGGGATCGAATCCATGTCTTCATGAGTGCAGAGTGAGCACTTAACTATGACCTTATCTCATATTCATCCTTCATTCATTCACTCATCCATTCTGTCTGTCTGTCTTTATTTCTTCTCTCTCTCCATCCCTCTTCTTCCCTTTCCCTTCCTCCCTCCCTCCCTCCCTCCCTCCCTCCCTCCCTCCCTCCCTCCCTCCCTCCCTCCCTCCCTCCCTCCCTCCCTCCCTCCTTCCTTGCCACTGGGTTTCATGTTCCAGCAATGAACATGTATTTCAAGTCTCCAGATCCTGTGTCACCCTATACTCACTAAGTTTTGGTGCAGAAAAGACTAGTCTGTAAGGCATGGCAAGTAGTGAAGAACCAACCTATCTCCATCTTAAGATCAAAAGTCTTCCTATAATAAAGATAAATAGGCTCATTCCTGTTTGTGATTAAATCTGTTTCTCAAGGATTGGGCTATGTCCCACCTGTAACCTTAATTACAAACGGCTCTGCACTGCATGTTTCAGGAATGCCAATAATGTCTGTGTTTCAAAAGTTGTTTATAACCATCTTTTAACCCTGCCTTTGTTTCAAAACAGTTGTTATGACTACCTGTTATTATGACCACCTTGTTGTGCCTACCCTGCAACCGGGTCTTTGTTTTAGGAGATTGTTAGGATTAACTTGTTATGAGTTTCTGCTCCCGTAGTCATATCTATTTTGTCCACCAGATCCCCTGCTTAAAATCCCCCTAGCCCTGATATAAAAGCCTCGTCTTCCTTACATCCAATGCTGATTGATCTCTCAAACCCTGCCCAAGGCTGTCCATGTACACAAATACAAAAGCTTGCTTTAATTAGTTTGGTCATGATGATTTGAGTTGGTGGTCTTTCTCTTCCCATCTTTGGGATTAACAGTAGCAGAAGTTCTGTGATGATAGTTCATGTGCAAACCAGTGTGGAGAGTGGATGACAACAACTTGCAGGAAGCATGTAAGTGTCCCTAACTGCTACTTTCAACATCTTTATGTCAAAGTGCTGAGCCAATATTGTGGGATGGTGTGAGCTATTTCTCTTTTTTATTTTTTATAGGACTTCTGGTGAGCAATAGAGCATTCAAAGTCAGTGGAAGCAGCCCAAGTTCCATTCAGTTCTCCCCAATCATGTATGACTTCCTTCTAGATGCTCCTAGAATACAGTGTTTTTTATTGATCCATCAATTTTTTTGCTTTGAGTCATGACTGTAACCCCAACTACCTTATTTTAGGATTCTCAGGTAAGTGAAGAGATAAACATTCTTAGAAATAAAACCACTCACAGCTGGTCGACTAGGCCGGGTGATATCTCTCGATTCTTCGGGTTTCACCTTGGAAGGCTCGTGGGGGAGCACAGGCGATCCTTCAGACTTACTGTTGGCTAGAGAAAAAAACAGGGACAAGAAAGATAGGATATCTTTAGAAAAGGCTGCCATACATTCCGAGTGAGTGACTACGGAGGGACTATTCACTAGGCAAATCCATGTATGTCAATGCAAAAACAACAACTGCTCAAAAAACAAAGTCAGATCACAAAAGCCTGAAACCTAGAAGTCAACAGTGAAAATGAAAATCTACAGTCATGACCAAGTGCTTACTGTGTATTCAGCACAGCACCAAATGCTTTCACTGTCGATTATTGCAATTAATCCTTGTTCCAACCCACTGGTGCGGCACTATTTTCTTATTCTCCAGATGAGTACAGACTCAAAGATGACACACCTAGCTCAAGGTGACATTGAAGGTATGGATTTAGTTGGGATTCTTTCTGAATTTCCAAAGTCTTCTTAATCGTTATTTCAAATCAGCTTACAAACTGAAATTTAGGCTTGTCTTCTTCTTTTATCATGTTTTCATTAGAACAGGCTATTCTGATGGAAGGTTATGAAGAATAAAAAGAGTTTTATCCAATGCAATGGTTTTTAAAAAGGGGCTGAGAAGTGATGTGAAACCTTAAGGAAGAAAGAATGATGCCACATCAGGGAAGTGTTGATAAAGGCAAAGGACCTGGGAGCAGAGGGGTGGAGGAAGGATCGGGAGGCTCCCTGCAGCCAGAGTGAGAGATGCCATGCCATTTATGTCATAGGTAATGAACCAGGAAATCTCAGAACTTCCTGTTTGATTTGAAAGTTAACTTTCTCAGGCTCTTGCAACCAGGAAAGTAGGGGATGGAGGAAAGAATGTGAGTTAAGCCCAAACTAGGTCCAAGAATTAAAATGGTATGTACAATCCAGACTTTATGATTTTCTCTAAAGATGAAAAGACGCCGATGAACAGAAAAAAGTTGATGGATGGCAGTTTTCTAGGGTAAGAAAATTGATCTCTGGATCAGTGCCACAAAGACACATGGCACTCTGGCATAGGCCACTGGTGTTGGAGGGATACTGAGTCAGTGGTGGGACAGCCCATGTCTCAGCTCACAATCATGGGTATCACATGTTAGATTTAAAGCTTAGAAAACTTGGATATACAGAGACTTTACTAAATTGAAGCCCAGAAGATTAATAGAGGAGGTCAATTATGGTTGTGTCTACTAAGGAACTGGTGGTTTTCTTAAGGGAGAGTGACTTACCAGCATATCACTAATTATCAAGTTGTACTTCAGAAAGTCTGGTATTAGTCATTGTGGGCAAATTTATCCTCAGAAAGTGAATTTTGACTCGTTAGAACAGAGTTTTGCTAGGCATTGTTTAATTGTACTATAGTCTTTCCATAGGTTTCTTAATTAGTGAAAACTAAGCAACGATGAATGTTTTGAACTAAATATTAGGCTATATCTTTTACTTGTCTAATGGGAATAATCAGAAGAATCAACCACATGTCTTTAAGGCAAAAGGTTTGTCTTCTCTCTCGTGTATTTGTTTTACATTGACATTTAGGAAATTTCATTTGGAGAAATACCTAAGATTATGAAGCATGCTTGGGACTCTGGAAGGGGTATTTGGCATGGTGGGAACAAGACAGTGGGGTGCATGAAACTGAAAATGAAGAATCAAATGGAAATGGACCTTTGGGGAACTGGAAAGATACCATATTTTGCAATAAGACTACTACTGGATATTTGCCTGGAAAACACTAGAAACTGAAATTAGGCAGGATTGTTGTTTACACTGATGTCATATGCACAATTAGAGATGGCAGCCCAGTCCCTTAAAGAGATACAAGCATGAGACACCAGATAATTTTCAGTCCCACACAACAGTGGCCACCTCGCTTCCAGAGTTAGGATGTAACCATTCCTTTCTGTCTGTGGCTTACCTCCTAGGCATGAGTATGGGGACAGTTAAGAGAATCCTTACCCCGAACTCTGGTTCGTTCACTAGATCCTGCTTGTGACCCAGGCTGAGAGCCTCCTTGGGAGCTGGGCTGGGAGCTGGGAGTGCTGGAGCTGGAGGAACTGCCACTGCTGGTCCTCTGCAAGGGACTCTCCAGTACGGGCTCTGTTCTGCGGAGGTCAGGATTGCTGCATGGACAGTAGAACACAATTGGTACAGGTCAGCATCCAAAACATACAAGGCACTTGCTTAACAAGTCAGTAGCAGGAAAACAAACAACCAGACTTTGGAAATGAGCTGAGGACCTGAAGAGATGTTAAAACAAAGACACACAACAAGCCACATACAAAAATGCTCAGCATCTCCTTTCACTTATTAAAATAGTTTTCTCCGAAAGAAGAATGGCAGCCATTGCCGCTGAGGGTGTTGGGACGGAAATCCTCATCCTCTCTTGGTAGGATGCAAATTAGCATAGCCATTATGAAAAACATTATGGAGATTCCTCTAAAAATTATAAACAGGGCTATAACATGACCCAACAACTCTGTTTCCGGTTGTGTATCTAGAGGAAATGAAGTAATTGTGTGAAAACATGGATGCATTCATTGCTGCATTATCTATAGCAGCAAAAGATAGACCCAGCATATATCTACTGATGCACAAATGGATAAAGTGCAATGAGTTTTTATATATGTAGTGCATATATATTCTATACATATGTCAACCACACAAGAACATGCACACTGCACGATCTCACTTATATATGGACAGGCACAACTCAGAGTAGCAGAGAATACAGTGTGGATTATTAACAGCTGTAAGGTTTGGTGTAGGGACAATGAAATGTCAAGTAAAAAAGGTTTCAGGATGAATGAGTTTTTGAGAACTATTGTACACTGTGGTACCTTTACTTAACATGCATGCTTAAAGTAGGATTATTTTGGGAAAAGATTTCATTATATAGATTACTGCAGCACCACAACCAGCTTTAAAGTAGATCCTAAATGTTCTCCTAACAATAATGGTAACTATTTGAGTTCACTTCAAAATTCATACATCTATCGAAAGATCCCATGGCACATATAAATATATGTAATTTTAATTTTGTATACATTAATAAGGCTGTGGAGTGACTTGCTATTGGTAGCAGCTTCTGAAATCCTTAAGTTAAGGAGCCACAGGAAGATGAAATTATGCCTTTCTGGTTGAGCCATGGCCAGCTGCTGGTAGGGAAGATGGTGGAAGGATACATGCTGGAAAAGGGTGGAGATGAGCTCCAAACTCAATTCTTGGATCAATGCACTATAGTACCAGCTCTGAGATGGGAAACCCTAGGAGAAGACCCTCCTTTAAACAGTTCTTCCACTATTCATTGTAAAGAACTTAAAATATATGAACAAGAAAATAAGGGGCAACACATACAATTCCCAAGCTAGGAAACAGTCAGCTATATTTTATTACTGGAAAATTATCAAATGTTCAATTTTGTCTCTTACCTTTTTCTTCCTAACACTGTATGGTGAGCACTGTATTATGCTCTGAAAAGTTCTGACTGCAAAACAACTCATCATATAGACAAATTTGTTTGGTCCTTCCTCTACTGTTAGTTATTTATGGTGCTTCCAACACATTGCTGCGACAAATAACACTGAAGCTCAACTCTAGTTCCTAGTTTTGGAATTCTTGATTGAGAGGTCATGAACTATGTGAACACACATGTGTATGCAAATATATAAGGGTACCAGACATTTTCACTGTAGTTTATATAATCATCATTCTCTCTGAATTTCTGTGTGTGTGTGTGTGTGTGTATGTATGTATGTATGCATGTATGTATGTGTGTGTGTGTGTGTGTATGTGTAGGTGACTGTGGTGACCAGAAGTAAGTGTCAGACTCCCTGCAGCTGATGTTACAGGTGGCTGTGAAACACTGATGTGGATTCTGGGAATTCAACTCTGGTGCTCTTTAAGAAGGGAAGTGTTCGTAACTGCTGAGCCATCTCTTCTGTTCCTCTCGTCCATATTTATTGACCATGGAGAGCAGTATCTATTAGCTCACTCAGCATGATCACAGTAGGAGTGGTCAGGCAATTGAGAAGGGACAGTGACAGGACACAGTGCATGTCCTCTGTGACATAGATCCTTTCGTTTCTGCTTAGCCTGTCGTGAAACACAGGGTGGCGTATGAACACAAAGAATGCCTCCATCACCCTGAGTGGCAGCTAATGAACAGGGAAGAGAAGAACCATCTAGCAATAGTGGTGGGAGGCATTTGTTGCAGCTCTTATGATTTTGTTAACAAACAATAAATGGCATTCTTAAAATTTCCATAAAGTTCTTTCCTTTCAGTTGATAATTAACATCTCTCCTCATTTGCCCATTAGATTTATCCAGTTCTGGCCAGGGATAATGAGTGGTACTTGAGAGTCAAAATTCCAGTCCGTTGCCAGTCATTTGCTGAGAGAAGAAAAAGAATAGGGCTCTGTCTCCCTTATTCCCAACATCTCTAGTTCTCTAAACTCCCTGACCATTTTTGTGAGTGGAGGTACTACAACACAATGGTTCAGATGCAGGAGGTGTTGCTTAAAGTATAATATTATGCTTTCATCTGCTCTGATCAGCTCAAGAGTGTTGTGTGCACCAGCTTAGTTATAGTGGAAAGACTACATTAATAGCCCCTCCTTGATGGTAAGGTTGACGACTACCTTATATGACATCCTAGAACCTTCATCCAGTGACTGATGGAAGCAGAGACAGATACTCACAGCTAAACACTGAACTGAACTTCTGGATCCCAGTGACAGGAATGGAGGAGTGATGAGCAAAGGGGTCAAGACCGTGCTGGTGAAATCCACAAAGACAGCTGACTGGACAAGGGGGAGCTCTTGAACCCCAGACTGATGACTAAGAGGCCAACAGAGGACTGATCCAGACTCCATGAATGTAGTGCCAGTGAGGAGGCCTCAGAAATCTCTGGAACCTTGAGTAGTAGATCGGTGTTTACCATGGCGTACAAATGAACTTTGGGAGCCCATTCCACAAAGAGGGATGCTCTCTCAGTCTGCACACATGGGGAAGGGCCTAGGTCCTGCACTGGATGAATTGACAGACTTTGGAGATCACCCTAAGGCGGGCCTCACCCTCCCCGGGGAATGATATGGGGATTGGGTGGGGGGCTGGAGGGACAAGGGAGGAGGAGTGGGTGAGGGAGCTGGGATTGACCCGTGAAGCATTCATGTTTCTAATGTAAATAAAACATATATTGAGGAAAAAAGTAAAAAGATAGCACACAAAAATATTGGGCTTCATTTTGGAATCTTTATACATACTTGTAAAACACATCTTGCTTTGTGGTAATGTATCTGTCCAAATCATGGCTAAGTAGAAGTGGCTAGCAACTAAGGATAACTTCAGTGGCAAGTTTTATGTAAAAATCATCATGTCTCGCTAGTCATCAATTTTGATGATATGAGCGTAGAATTTATGACAATATTTACTCTTATGGCATTTGTGGGAAGTGGGTGCTAAATCAATAGTGAAGCCAACTGCAGAGTGACAGCTGGTGAAGCTCATGAAAACCAAGAATTCTTGTTAAAATAATGGCATTCTTTAATGCATCATAGCTATCTTGTGATAACTTACTGTGTCTAACGGGGAGGGGTTGAACTAAATTTGGGTTCTATGTGCAAATACACCTAAATTAGAAAATACTCAAAATGACCAACACTTCTTTCCTAAGTATCTTGCATGATAAACTTGTTATTTTTCATAGGAAAAAATTGTCTCTAACCCTCAAATAATGAGTTCTCCCCCACTGCTCTCCTTTATGAAACAGTGGTGGTCAGGGAATCATTAATAAAGTACTACATTATTTGTTGTAAAATTTGCTACTAAACAGGAATATATTATAGACCAAGAGTGGAGGATGGCATCAAAGTTTCTTATAATGCTCAATTTTGTGGAAAGATGATGTCATCTTCTTTGTACTAAAAACCATATTGAAAGAATGGTGCTGGTACATGCCCTGTAATGTTCCCTAAGGTGGCTGTGGTTGTCATGGCAGTATTCAGTTACTTGTTCTATTTAGCTTTCCTTGGGTGCTTCAGTCAAAATCCTATCGAATCACATCTAAATTGAGTCTTATTGGATCAAGATGAGATGAGGGCTGGAGAAGGTCAGGCCAAGAGGTGTCCAGCCAAGTGACACCATCGCCATGGCAACGAGATACATGTAGTAGAGATAGGAGTTAGCAGTTAATAGCAACTCTGAAAGCATTGTGAAAAGAGACTATAAATGCCATTGGTGTTTGGGGAAATTCATGCACACTGAGGGGCCCTGGCTGGTGTTGTAAAGGAGTGAGGGGACTTGGTACAGTATCAGAAAGTCTGGACATAGCCTGAGTAGTGATAAAAGCTGGTGTCTTCCCTGTATACATGGATGGATGTTAAGCAGAGGCCAGCAGGGCAGTTAGCCAAGTCTGTGGTAGGAAACAAAATGAGCTGATTGGAAGACAAGTGTGGCTGTATAGCCATGGCTCTTAAAGCCTGCTACCTGCCTCCATGGTGGGCCTGGATGTGGGTGCCTGGCTAGGAGAAAATCATGGAAAGACAGAGGGCTGTGGTCATGTCAGGTGCCTGGCTATTGGCTGAACTGTCTGGGATGCACATGTGTCTTTGATGAAGCTCAGAGCTTCTTCCTGTGTGAGGCTAATTAGATCCCATGAGCATTAAATTCCTGACTTAGGCATCATTAGCACAAGCCCTCTATACTCCAGCTCACTGTCACAGGCTCTGATTGCCATTCTTGCTGCTACACACTAAAAGAAATATTCAGTGTCTCTATAACCACACAGAAAAATAGGGGAACTTAATGTCTTTTCTACCGTATTTCCCTTTTCTTAAAAATATGAGTGATGTGAGAAAATGCTATATGATATTTTTCTCTTCCTTATTATATATGTATGATTTGCCTTATAGGCCAAGGGGTCTGAAATAAATGCTGATAGAGGTTTAACTTCAGAATTCCACTCATAACAGATTTCTCTTGTTCACATATTAACTGAGACTGCTTGGATTCAAGCATGCAAGAACTTCAAAACTTCCAAATACATTTCTTTAAATGTGAACTTTTAATCCACACTTTCTCTATCCAGCAAACAATGATATGTGGCAATTATTCTATCTACTTGAATTGTATAAAAAGTCAAAACAAAAAATGAGGATTACAAGTGATTTTGTGTCCAAAGCCTTGGGCCAAGTCTTTAATTAAATGGCTGACTTCCAAAACTCTCTTTGATGACATGACCAATAAGAAAAAAAAAACTAGTCATAAGAAGATATGTTTGGGATGGGACAGGGAATTATTTTCTGAGATTAAACATTTAGTCACTGTTTTTTTAGACTGGTTGTTTCTGGCTTAATTTAAATCCTTTCATATTTCAAAAGTACTTGTTTGAGCAAATTTTAATTTTGTTTAAGAAGAACATATGAATCAAAGCTAAATATTAAAGTCCCTGGCAGTTTAAAATAGGAATATTTTTACATGATCAACTACAACCTTTATTTTGGTATCCAGGAGCAGGTGGGACCTGCCTGTGGAGCTTGACCTTAAGGAGACTGCGACATAGCTCACCTTTACCCCAGGGTGGGAGCTGTCAAAAGTATGAGATGCTGCTGTTCCTAGGTGAGTGAGGAAGCATTTGGATACAAATAAATTCCATAGGATCACGACTTTTAAAAGACAGTGAATGCAAAACAGCAAAGATCAATGCCCTCAAGATTAGAAAGAACTGGTAACAGTCCTACAGGGTGAAAAAGAACTAAATGGTGTCCTGTCAATCAGTGAGTCAAGCATTCCCAAGGCAGACTACCAGAGTTCAAATCCCAGGCCTACCACTTCTTCTTTTGACACATTGGGCAATTTGTATGAGCTCTGTTACGTCAGCTTTTCATCTATAAAATGAGGGTGATGAAAGTTACTGCCTTGGAATTACTAATGGTTTAAATAGTTAATATTTGTAATGCTAGCTGGTAAGATGGCTCAGTGGGTACAGACACATGTTGTCTTATCATGGCAACCTGAGTTCAACCCCTGGAACCCACAGATACCCAAATCCACTAAAGTGTCTTCTGACCAACATACACACAGACACACACACATACACACAGACACACAATCTAAGAGTATTTGCAGTGCAATGAAAATACTATATCATACATAGTCCTTCAAGAGATGTTTATTGAACACTAAAATAAATATAAATTATCTCAGAAACAGAAGACAAGGTCCTACCTACAAATACTCACTGTTCTTAGACAGCAAAGGAGTAAAAAAATGGAGAGGTATTCCTAGAGAAGGAAGTGTACCTGGAATACTAAGGTTCTGACTTGCTTGTATTAGCTACATACACTCAAGTACACACACCGACTCCAGATTCTACCATTCAGGGTACCACATGGTCACTATTGGTTCAAACCCACTGTTTTCAAATTGTTAGGGAGCATCTCACACTACAGTTACTATATGACATCTTGCCCTTAGGATCTGGGATCCACTGTTATAAATGAAGAAAACAAAATACAAATATCTTCCCTCTTATGCTCACTTTGCACAAAGTTTGTTTCTTATTCTCAGAAGCCGAGGGGAATCACTTTCTCTGGGGGTTCTTCTCTATGTGGTGACCCAGGGATCAGGGGCCTACTTTGCTGAAGCATTACCATTTTGAACTCTGGGTTCCTAAGATGTTCATAAAGAAGAGAGAAGCCTTGCTTTTTAAAAATAATGCCTGTGTATATGCATGTAGAGCTTGTGTACATGTGGATGAGTGTATATATGTATGTTTATGGAGGGCAGATACAACCCTAGGTGGTGTTCCTCAGGAGTGGTCCACCTCTTTTGAGACAGGGTCTTCACTGCCCTGGAGCTGACCATAATTGGTTACAATGTACGGCTGAATTAGGAGCCTCAGTAGCCACCTGGAAAGTGCAGTAGTGCCGTGTGTAATCCCAGTGTTGGGGAGGCTGAGATGGAAGGACCTCAGGGGCTTGAGGGCTAGCCACCCTAGCTGCAGCAATGAACTCTAGGTTCAGTGAGAGACCCTGCTGAGAAAATAGATGGAGGACCATCCAGAGAGACACGGGACATTGACGTCTCCACATGCCATGGAAAGCTTGTGGGGGTCAGAGGACAACTCTGCAGGTTCTCCCCTTCTAAGTGTGTATGGGTTCTGGAGATAGACTCACGCTGCCAGGCTATGCAGCTGTTGTCTTTCACCAATTCTAAGAGCCATCTTACCAGTCAGGGATTCACATTTCAAGTGCTGGTCATATGGGGGTGAATGTTGGGTGTTCTGCAGATTGTCCTACATGAAGAGATGGGGAGTCTCCATGCTCTCACCCCAGCTCTTTGGCTGTGCATTGCAGGTGGATAACTGCAAACTCTTAGCTCACGTCCTCTCTGCTGTAAGTAGACAGATGCTGGTGGTCTCTCAGGAAGTTTACATTCTTTGCACAAAATAAAGTACTTTTAAGTGTGTCAAAGGGCACCCTTTACCTTTTATAAGTCACTGCCCATCAAATACCCATTATCTTAGGCCCTAATTTTGCTAACAACAGCATCTCAGGGGAATTAAATGGCTGCTTCTCACTCGACTATAACAGCAGGTCATTCATTTTGGTTGACAGAAAAGTATTTAGGGCTTCATCTAAGAACCCAGATTCCAAGCAACTGACATAATGAAAATATTCTCCAGGGCAGGGTGCAAAGATCGGGAGGTGCTGATATCTGAGGACCTGAACAGAGGGACTGATGGAGCTTAGCCTGTGTCTGGTGCTAGCATGCCTCTGTGCCTCCCAGGTAACCTAGGGTTGCTTGGCCACACCAGCTAAGCACAGTCCTGACAAGCTGCAGGAGAACAAGGGGTTCATAGAGTCCTACGATTTGTAACTCCACTTAGAACGAAGCTGGAACCTTCCCCCCAAAGAGATTCTAAGTGGAGTTCCTCTTCCTAAGGCCTTTCAAGGGAAGAGAAAAGAGAATGTGATCAAAAGTGTTCTGTATACAAACAAAACCATAAGCGTCCCCTCCTTTTACTCTCCCCTTTCCCTTTTCATGGTCTCTCTCTCGTCACAATCACGGTGAAGAAGAAAGCAGCCTGCCATAACACATCCCTTTTAAAGCCCCAGCAGAGGGCACTTGCTATTTCTGTGGTTCCTAAAAAAGGATGTGCTCATCATGACAAATCCAAGGGGGACTTGATGAGCAACAGCAACAAACAGCATCTGTTGCCACATGAAGTCTGCCCGGATACTGTTTCCTTCCCAGCATCCCTTGAGACTGCTGCACCAACCAGTGGAAGTTGGATGCAACCTCCTGATTACAGGAATGTGCACTGGATGGAGAACCCTGAAAGAACATAGCATAAATCATGGACGTATAAGGCCACTGAGGTGATTTCCTGATCAATGCTGGTCCTCTCAGGGCCAAGCTATAGAATTTCTGGGGTCGCTTACTGTTTCCTATGCCAGAGTTTTGTGATACTTCAATGGTTCTTGGTGTACATTTCTTGACCTGGTGCTGTAGTTCAATTTCCTTCTGGATCCATGAATGGTCTCCAAAGCAATCAGTGGCAATGCCACAACCACATCTATATCTCTAAGTTTGTGCCCAGATTTTAAAAAGTGTCATGCTGAAGTTATAAAAGGCCATCAAAGTTGATAGCCCAGGTAACAGGTGCACATGCTTCAGAAGTGAAGAAAAGATCAGGGACTTTCTTTAGGAAAGCAGGTAGGTATCTTGGATAAGCATGGTGACCTCTGTCTCCTTACCTTGCTCTGATAGGTTGAGATCCAAGTCTGGGGCCCAGAGCACTGCCATTCCCAGGGGAATTCTTCCTGGCTAATGCTGGAGATATAGAAGTTGTTCTTTGAGGCACCTGGAAGAAAACAGGAATTGAGAAATATTTCACATAATACAGTGCAGGTAGGCTACTGTCTGAAAAGTCTTCTCAGAAGACTGGCTAGAAGTTGCAGAAGTTGCCTTCTCTACAGAAGAACTTCTCTCCACCTTTTATGGAAACAGGAAATCCCAAACAAAGCCAAAGGACGACCTCCTGTCAAAAGTCAAGGAGGAGTGTTCCATGGCCACTAAGGCTATTTTAATCTTAAAAACAAAAGAGGAGGCAGAGGCAGGAGGATCTCTGGTCTACAGAGTGAGTTCCATGACAGGCTCCGAAGCAATACAGAGAAACCCTGCCCCGAAAAACAAACAAAAACCAAAACAAACAAAAAAACAAATAAACAAAACAAAAAAGATTACACTAATGACCTTGATTTACTGAGCTACAAGAAACTACTTCCTCTTGCTTGGGCAAGAGTGGTAGCTAGGAGAAAACCTCTTTGGAGTGATGCCTTAGTCCTGTGGAAGCTCGTTAGGCAGGAGCTAAACAGAGAAGGTCACATTTTACTTTGGCTCATCACAACGAACAAATATAGATTATGAACTCTAGTGAAAAACTGGGGTACCAGTCGACACCTTGGACAATAAGTCACATTCTGGGGATCCTGTAGAACCTATTACTGTATTATTTACTTTTTGATATTTGTGTATGTGTGAGCCCCTGCATGTACGGATGGATGACACATATGTGTTGGGTGCCCATGGAAGCTGGGAGAAGGCATCAGAACTCTTAGATCTGGAGTTACAGGTAGTTGTGAAATACCCAATGTGGTATTGGGAAATGAACCAAGGTCCTCCCAAGAGAAGAAGTGCTCTAATCACTGGGTGACCTCTGTAGCTCTTATCTCTCCTATATCATGAAAACATAGACTATTATATTTCCTAAGAAAGCTGCTATTATTAAAGATCCCACACCACAAACATCGTCTTTTTGTGGTTAACTAGTAAATGCTATTTATAAAACTGAATTAATACTGAAAATAATAGAAGGGGCAAAAACCCATGTGAGTATAAGAAGGCTGGGAAGTACAGTATAAGTGTGTATTACTAACTCAACCAGGAAAAGCAGAGAGTAGAATTCAAATGGGGCTTCTGTCTAAAAGCATACAGACTACTGCTTGTGGGGTCAGGTATTACACAAAGGGAGTCTGTTATTTACAAGAAACACATAGACATTAGTGCAGAAGATGACTTTCAATGTACGTGTCATCCTTTATTTTGAAAAAGTTTTGTTATAATTCATTTTAACACAAAATGGAATCAAGGAAGCAAACCAAAATGTTCAAATTGGTATAAGACCTGTTCAAATTAAGCACTGCTGCTGTTATTTTCCCCCATTTCCTTTTGCAAATAAAAACATTTGTAGAGAAGTGATCGGTAGATGACTATGCCCTGAGTATCCCTTCCTAGCTTTACACGTGTCACCTGTAGAGAGTGGATCAGGCACTTCCTCTTTCAGGTCTCAAACATGGTCACTGTTTCATTGCCAAAATAATGGCAGTCCTGCTGGGATTCCCACTTGAGAGGGAGATGATAATTGTTTGGAAATCATTAAAAACTACTTTATTTTTCCTGGGATTAATAGTAACAATATTTTCTGGAAACTGTGGGACAGTCTAATTATCACAGCTTCATATGCTGAGCTCAGGAGGAAAGATATTCACAGACCAGGAAAAATCTGTTACAAAAATGTCTTTAGCATTTTAAAGACATCCAGGTTGACTGTAGACACATTCCAGAACATTGCTGGGAACAAATAACAGTTTAGTAATGTAAAATGAAACAAAAGAATTCAAGGTTGCTCTATAGCTTGGGAAAACTAGTCCTTTCCCTCTACAGTTCAATCCTCTGTAATTAAGGCTAGAAATATAGTACTTCTTAGTCTAGAAGGAGCACATCCTAAGTGGAGTCAACAGAAATGCCTAAAGGCAAGGCCAGCCTGTGTTTTCACATGTGCGCACATGAGTGTGAGCTATGTGTGTTTGCCTGCGGAGCCAGGGGTCAGTGCTGTGTCTCTTCCTCAATATCAAAAATGCCTCTGCCTGACTCTCTCTATCTGTCTCTCTGTCTGTCTCTCTCTCCCTCTGTGTGTATGTGTGTGTGAGACAGAGAGAGACACACACACAGAGACAGAGAGATGCAGAGACACACAGAGAGACAGACAGAGAGACAGACAGAGAGAGAGAGAGAGAGAGTGAGAGTCTCTTACTGAACCTGGAGATCACCAATTTAGCTAGACTTTTTGGTCATGGATCTACTAGTTTTCACCTCCTCAGGACTAGGGTTATAGACACATGTCACCAAGCCTGGATTGTACATGAGTGCTGGGTCCCTGAACTCAAATCCTATGCCTGTATGGCAAGAACTTAACTGACTGAGCTTCATTTCCCCAGTCCCCAGACCATTTTCTGAACCTTTGAAATCTGGTTGAGTTTTGTGTTGTTAAATGTAAGAGTAAGTGAATTTTCTTTTACTTATTTGGTTTGTTTAGCTGTAGATGCAATAATCATTGAAAATACCCACTATTCTATTTTTCAGCATGAAGAGCACAACAGCTTAGAGTGTTTGGTATTGAGAGTTCTAATTCTATGCAAAGACATCCCTGTCACTCATACTGAATCTCTGCCCCTGTGGGAAATAAAAGATCAGAAATGACAAATGACGACCCACAACTTAACTTAGAGAAGGGATAATGACAATTAGGCACAAGCGTGTTCTCCAAACTGTGAAAGAGATAGCATAGTGGAGGATGCTGATGGTGGTGGCAGTGACAGGGACACACCATAGCATCGGGGATGCTGATGGTCCATGGAGGATGCTGATGGGGTCAGCAGTGACAGGGACACACCACAGCATGGGGGATGGTAATGGTGATGGCAGCGACAGACACACCACAGCATGGGGGATGCTGATGGGGGCAGCAGTGACACAGACACACCACAGCCTAGGGGATGCTGAGGGGGGCGGCAGCGACAGACACACAGCAGCACTGACGCTACCTTTGGTGGAATATCTTCTTCCTGTCGTAACCAAGAGCTTCGGTCGAACTTTTCAATGCGAGTGGGGAGAGGAGGATTTTCCGAGGTGGGATCTGAGTTCTGGCGTGGCATCTCGATCCTGTGAGAGGTCACATTCAGAGCCTCCTGGAACCCAGACAGGCCCTTTGTGGGTTGCTCGTGCACTGACTGGGAGACAGTCAAGGCAGGTCCCTGGGATTTGACAGCTACCAGCTGTGGGATCTAAACACACAACATAGGGCCAGCATTATTAGAAGCTCATAGGTTGAAGGTACAGAAAGTTCTGTAGGCAGGAATTGAATCCATCAGAACTATTGACAGGTGGCTTTCAGTTAGCAATAACTGTACTTGGGATATGCCAGCCTCAGAGGCCGAGACACTCCTGCTATACAAGGCTGCACAGCATGGTTCTCACAGCCCTTCAGAATCTTCAATTTAGAAAATATGTAGGGCTAACTCAGGGATCCTGGCAACAGGTTTGGTGTATCAGCTGGAACTGCTGAGAAGTCGGGGAATAGTAAAGTGGTAGCAACAATAATTACATTTATTCAACATTTCCTGGACAGTAACACAAGCTGTTTTATAAGCTATCCCAAGTACCCTCTTGTACAGTCTTTAGCTTTGACTTTAGCTATGAGTGTCCTATGGAAGAGGAAATGCTCTAAATTAAATGTCTTTCCTTTTCTGAACTCACTGAGTCCACCCTGGGGTAGACACAACCAGCCTTCTTTCAGATATGAGCAATCTCAGGTTGAAAGAGACACTCTAGATTTCACAGCTGAGCTGGAAGCCAGTGTTCTACCGCTCCCCCCCAGACCAAGCATCTGACCTTTGTGGTGAACTCTTTCTTCCTTAAGTGCCCCCAACCCTAAGTGTACATGTGTGAGGTGCACATGATGTTTAGAGGCCAGAGGTCAACTTCAGAATGTTTACCTGGTTTATAGTCTGTCTGTCTGTCTCTGTCTCTGTCTCTCTCTCCCCTCTCTCCTTCACCCCCTCCCTTCCTTTCCCTCTCTTTCTTTTTTGAGACAGCATCTCTCTCTGAAGCTCGAGTTGGCCTGGAACTCCGTGTAATTATGACTGGCTTTTAACAACTCATAGAAACCCACCTGCCTCCGTCTTCTGAGAGCTGGGATTAAAGGCTTGAGCTACACATGGCTCTCACTCTGTTTAAAGAAGGCTTGGAACTTGCCAATTTGACTAAACTGGCTGGCTAACAAGTCCCAAGGACTCTCCTGAACCCCTTCCCCCAGTGCTAGTTTACAAGCATGCCCTACCATGCCCAGTCTTTTATGTGTGTTCTAGGGATTGAACTTGGGTCCCTATGTGGCAAGTACTTTACTGATTGGGCCATGTCCTTGGACCCTGCAGTGTCTTGACTTGTCCAGGGCTGGCTGTTGCCACTGAGAATACACTCCATTCCCTGATACCAGGATGTTTCTTGAGGAGTTATGTCAACAATTGGGCATACAGTGCTGTTGTTCTTGCAGGGATGACTTCTGGAAGTTTCATTTGGTCTCTTAAGAAAAATCACCCAAATCAGGATATGAAGGACTCTGTCACCACTGCCCTGCCCATATGTCACAGCACTTTGTGAATACTGAAGCTTGTCCTACCTCAGGGTGTACACTGTGCTCATTGGAGCCCGAGGCCATCTCTGGGTCTGACCCATAGTCCATAAATCATGGCTTGGAAAAAAAAGGGATCTAGAGAACTTCCTAAATTAAACTGCTAATTCAAATTATTGATTTCCCATTGGCTTTGTACAATGGCTGCTCTCTGTTGGGATGTTAGAGTGACAAGCAAGAAAATCCTAAAGCTTTGCTCTGCTGAGTGTTTTGCTTTAGCTAGAAAGACCCTGTAATGCTCATGTTGATGTGAACATTATTGAATATATTAATACAACAAAGCACATTAACGTGTCTAGTACAAAACACAAACTCACGTTAGCAGACCATTCCAAGCACCCCTAGGAATGCTTCCATAGAAAGTCTATACTACTATTTCCTCATCATTTCAGAAGGGCACTTCCCCACAATGTCCCCTTTAAGGGCAAATGTTCATTATATGGTCAAAGTAGAAGGTTTTAAAAAGAGGGAAACCCTTGTAAAATGTCCCCCTTTGAAGAATCTTGAAGAGAGAATTATATACAGATAAAGACAATCAGGGGAAGGTGTATTAAGGTGAGAAATCTCGAATTTTTCTTATTACCACCAAGTTAAAACACAAAAAAGCCTTGATTTTTATCATGATTCTTTAAAGCTCCCGTTCAAACAGCAGTGTGTATTTCAAAGGTGACCTGAAAATACACTGGAAAAGCCTCACCACAGCTGGGTGCTGGGAAGAAATGTAAGATGTTTGTGTGAGAACGGCTGCATTACACTTCTTCCCCACGGAATTTCCATATTCTATTTCACTCTGAATTTCATCTTTGCAGAACTTACCAGAAAGCTTCTTTTCTAATAGTGAAGTAATCTTTCCCTACTAAGTATCTTCACACAGTGCTTTGAAGCCTCTAAGGGGCACCCGAATCAACCTGGAAGACTTTTAAAGTCAGACTTCCAGGCCCAACCCCGCCTTGCTGGTGAGTAAGCCTGAGGCACTCCCAGGAGTATGCATTTTTACCAAGGTCATGGGTGCTGCTGGCTGCTGGTCTGGGGAACATGCCTGGAGAGCTCCAGGCTCAGAAGGTACATGCTTATTTCACCAAGCCCATTGAGTTCTCTAGAATTCCACTCGTGTTTCAAGGAAGGGGAGAATATGCGTATATAGTCTACCTCAGAGGTTTCTATATGAATTTTAATTCTTCTGCTTGTAAACTACAAGGATGCTTGTCCCCACCCTCCAGCACTTGAATGGGTCTCCACAGCAGCTACTTTACCAAGAAATGACTTTGAAGTTGACTCAAGGTCAATAGCTCCCCCTTCCTGTCTATTTTCCTGAGCCTCTCAATGCAGAGGGGCTCTGTCCTTCTGAATGCCATGCTAAGAGTCTTTACTTATGAGGTCCTATGCCATGCTAGAATCTTCTAGACTTTTAACAGGCTTTCCTGGGTACAAGTGCCCACTGGAGCAGAAGAGACATTATACCTGGGGGTCAACAGGTCTGAGCATTGGCGGTGTCCGAGCAGGCTGAACCCCACTAATGCTGAAGGACTCCGATCTTGGGGGCAGGTTGGGGTCAGAGATCCTGTTGGCAACCTTGTGAGGCATGGCAGGTGAACTCTGTCGGTTTAGTCTTGAGCGTTCTTCTACCTAGAGGTCAAAGGAAAAGAAAGCCTTAATGACTACAAGTTGGTGCCTTTTCCAACAAGAATTTTCTGTAGTCACCCACCCAGGCATTTATTTTTATGTTTCCCTGATGAATTCAAAGAGCCCCAACTTGCCATTTTTGTTTTGCAGCATGATCTTTTTCTCCTCTCCCTCATTTTCCTTTCTCCTTGTCATGGATATTCTTCCAGTAAGCCAAGACAGACAAGAAACTTGAGCCCTCGCCCTTACGTTACCCATTAGCTTGTGTTATTTCAATTAACTGGGCACTCGCAGTCTGCTAAGAGTGTGTCTTGCATTCCTTGAGCTAATATCCCACTAATTAGTCACTAAGCCATGGCACCAGGCAGGAAAATGGTGTGCACTGCAGATAATCAAAGGGGACTACAGTAGGCATTGATACAGCTTAGGGGAAAATAGAAACTTGCTTTGGGTTGACTCAGGAGATGGGGCATTTGTCACACTGGAGAGGGAGAGGTGGCACTGGAACTCTGCTCCTCTCTGTGTGCTGGTGATAGGCACGTGGGCGTCCCTGGTGCTGCTTAATGATATGCCTGTCTTACCCAGACTTCCTGTATCATTTTCTTTTTCTCTTCAGGGCCCTTTCCTTTCAATTGCCTCTCCCTGCCACCCAAAATACACCGATCCTCCCAGGCTTTCTGTTCCCCACTCCCTCTGACTCTCCTCCTGCTGCCCACATTCTAGCCCTTCCTTGTCCCCGGCCCCTTCTCTCCTCCCAACCCATTTCATTTCCTTGTCACGTCTTAGTCTCCAGGGTTTCTCCCAACCTAGGGACTTCCCAGGAGAAGCTCAGAGAACAGGTGGCTCTTTTTAAACTGATAAAAAGTCTATCAGTCAGTCCATATTTATAGCCCAGATAGACGGTTACAAGGATGACTTGAAAGTTAAATTAACAAGATGGACATCGACAGACAAGATGGAAGACCTTGGTCAACTCCAAAGGGCTAAGACTTGTTCTGGGTTTATCTTACATTGTCCTATATTCCTTTAGGGTAAGTATAACGGTTGTGCCTCTCAAGCATGCAAGTCCTTAACTCACTTCCACTGACTCAATATTCAGGGATGACTGCATATTTCTATGTGTCAGCTAAGGTTTAAAGTTTCTTTTTGCTGCCTGATTTGGAACAAAATTCAAAAGTCCTACTTGTTCTCATCTTCCTTACACTATCTTGAATTGTTCTAGAGACAGGCCCAGTTTCCTATTCATAGTAAGTCTGTTTTAGCCTCAACCATTTAAACATGTTTCATTAAGCCACAGATTAGGAAACGGCCCTCCTGGCTCTATGAGGTGTAATTTGAGCATCTCTTCCCTCACTATGGGTTTGTGGGATATGCCCAATTGGCTTCTACTTGACTTTGGTTTATAATTCAAAGTCCTAGAAATTCACCACACACTAAATTACACTAGCTACAAAAGGCCACAGGTATAAACCAGGAAATGTTTACTTTGTGAGTGCATAAAGCCTTATGTCAACACTAACTATCTGGCCATTGTACTGAGCAGACAAGCAAAGCCCGCTATCATTACAAGACCTCAAAGCCCCAAGAAGATGGCAACAGCCAAGTCAAGCACCACTTTTAAATACCAGACTTCTTGAAAGAAAAGAAAGTGGTTATTCTTTAGCCACTGCAATTCCTTATTTCCTCACTCTCTAAATTTTACTACCTAAACCACTCATGTTCAAGCTCAGGAACTCTGGGGAGTAGAAACAGTTCAGAGAAATACCTACATTTCTACACTCGGGCCACCTGATATCTTAAACACTGGTGGTGTTGAAGTGAGCATGTATTCTTGTGTTCAGAACCAAATGTATTCCGAGTGAGGCATACTTGTAATGATTATTAATGTTAGTTTTAACTATCAAATACAGGGCAAAAAGTGAGGGCCAATTTTCAGATACCTTGCGTGCCTCTTTAGTTGTATAGAGAGGTTACTAAGCCACTCCTGGACATATTTTTTATGCTTTCAATCCATTCATGCATTCGTGTGTCTTAACCTGCAGGATTCTGTGTCATATAAAATAATTAGTTGTTAATCCCCAGTCATTGATGCCAAGATGGGTCAATGTGGTGATATTTTGTAAGTGGGAGTTTGGACAACAAAATGGTAAATCCATGAAAAGGTTCTAACAATGAGGCATTTGGCTACACATTCAAAATATTTTTATATTTATTTCTCTGTGTGTGTGCACACATATGTGAGTCACAACACATGTCAGAGGTCGGAGGTCAGAGGTCAGAAAACAACCTCTGGGAGCTAGTTCTCTCCTTCTACCATGTTCTAGGAATCGAACTCAGGTTCCCAGGCTGAGCTAACTTGCTGGCCCTGATTATATTTTTGTCTCAAGAAAATCTTGCCTTAAAACCTTCAGGACGGTTGGAACACACATGTGCTTTGTACAAAAATTTCCCTTTAATTACTGGAGGAAACACACCAAACCTGACATTGGAAATAGATTTTCCCAGGGAGAAAGCTAAGTGTACTCAGAAGCAGATCTTTCTGATACCAGACAAAGGTATGTCCCTCATGCCTACTAAGTGAATGGAAAGACGTTATGTGAGAAGAAAAGAAAGCATCTTAGATGGGCAGTGGTGGCTCACGCCTTTAATCCCAGTACTTGGGAGGCTGAGACAGGTAGATCTCTGTGAGTTCAAGGCCAGCCTGTTCAACAGAGCAAGTTCCAGGATAGTCAGGAGTACACAGAGAAACCTTGTCTTGAAACACGCATGTGCGTGCGCACACACACACACACACACACACACACACACACACACACACACACACACAGTGGCTCCTCCTGAGGGCACAGATAAACACAACTAAACTGGGGTATAGTTTAGATCTGCTTCCATCTACTTGAGGGAAGTCTATTGGTAGAGGATCCAAACGCCAGCTGCCAGGAAGATGGGAAATACCAGAGGTATCACCAGGTTGGTGTATGACTCAGTGAATAAAGTATTTTTTGCATAAGTGAGGATCCCCCGAATCCCAGTAAAGCCAGATATGGTATCTGTGCAGTGCACATCTGTAATCCCAGTGCCTTCCTGGCACTATGAGAGGCAGAGACAGGAGGCTCCCTAGAAGCTCCCATGCCAAGTGGCCTGACATATCCAGCAGTGACTGGCATGCACTTCAGAGAGAGGACATGATACAGTCCTAAAAAAGTTAAAAGACTATTCCACACGTGATCATGTAAACAGAGCATCCTGCTACAAGCTGGTGCATGTTAAAATACCATTTGGTGTGGAAAAGGGTGGCACAGAACACTGATGCCATTTTAGGGCACACGAGAAAGCAAAATAATTTTCTGTCATGCAAAAGATGAGGAAAAGGCCAAATTCTGCTGAGGGACAGACAGTACAACATCATACTAACGCTTCCACAGGGCTAATCTGACTTCCGTGGAAATCAAGTAACAGTAGGGGAATTTGAAAGGAGTGAGCTTGCCTCAGCAGCCTTTGAATGCCAACATTCTCATTCCTTTCTGGTTGGAATCTGAAAATCAAAGCCACAGCAACATCCAAGCTCAATAGAATACTAAGGCAAAGGAAGGAGGTGATAGCTTGACAAGATCCCCAAAGATCACTGGGCTAAGGGGATGGAGACAGGAGGGACACTGAGGCTTGCTGACTGTCAGACTAGCTCTGGCTTCAATGAGAGGGTCTGTCTGAAGTCTCTTCTGGCCTTCACGCATGCATGTATGGGTGCATGGACCGTAACTGCACTACACATACATACACACATGCACACGCACGCACACACACATCAGAGGACGAAGCATTGCATCACATTGCCTGCCCCGGCAGTCTTTTAATGCTGGCATTCTCATTTCTAAAATCCCACCTTGGTCTAAGGGCAGAGAAATTGAAGGACTATTACATTGGATGTATCTGGAGTGCACATCATAGCCACAGGTGTGTGGCCCATCGTGTACCTCTGAGACCACCATGAACAAGGCAGGGTTAGCGGCAACGCCAATGTCTCATAACTGCAACCAGGTTATGGACAGGATATGATCCTTCCCAGAATATGTAAATAATATTCTTCCACTAACAGTTGTTATGATACATATCTAACAGGATTCTTTGTGTGAATGTGGTGCAAGGAGGGTGTGTATGTGTGAGTGTGTGTGGGGTGTGCATGTGTGTGCACGTGTGCGCGTGCTTGCGTGTGTGTGTGTGTGTGAACATGCACATGCGTGTGTAAGCCAAAGGCCTGCTATCACTTCCCACATGCCTGCCATGGCCTTGTTTTTTTGAGACAGTCTCCCAGTGGGTCCCAGCATCAGGGTAGGCTGAATAGCCAGTGAGCCCCAGATATCCTCTTGACTCTACCTTTTCATTTCTAGGATTATAAGCCTTTTCCTCCATGCCTGGCTTTTTATGTGGGTGCTGGGGGTTGCACTCAAGTCCTTATGCTTACAAGGCAAGCATTTTATCAAGCAGATTATCTCCCTGCTCCTCTAAAGAGACTTTTACAAGGAAAACTCATTTTTGTTGTTTTCCCCTACAAAAGCCAACTTTACTCGAAAGGTGCACAAGAAAAACACCACGAGCATCACCAGGTACGTCAGCCTTTTCTCTGCAGTGACATTATGGCTCCTCCAGAAGTGAAGTGTGCCTCTTATGACAGGCTGTCTTCACATGGTACAGCACTAACTGGATTCTGCATCCCAGTGAACGAACTCTCAGTGGAGAACCTGGCCAATGGATACGGCAACCCTTCCTCTCTTACCTCTTTGGCCCATGCTGGCTTCTCACTGGGACTCATGCCCTCCTTATAATGGTACAGTGGCTTCTTCTCCAGGGGCCTCTGCTCCTGTCGCTGATGCTGCAGGGAAACCAGATAGTCTCTCTCTTGCTTTAGCTGTCGCTGGAGTCTCTCTGCTTGCCTCTGTTCTTCCAGTTGTTTGCGCTTATATTCCTACCCAGAGCAGGAAGAGCGAAGAAGAGGACACGTGACCACAGTGCACATTCCCACGTCGGGCAGCAGCAAAGCATGCAGTAGAGGCGAAGGGGAACTGGAAACAAATAGGATTCCAAGAAGGACAAGGAGTACCCCAAATAAGCCCAGGCCTCATGTTAATGTCCACACAAGAATATGTAAATAAAAACATGATTGCTTTAATGACAGTCCCTACAGAGCACCACTTGGAAAGTGACTTGTCTCTGGAGAATTTGCAACAGAGATGCAAGGTAGTCAGACTGTCATCCCTAGGAGTCATTCACTTCCTAATTTGGTAATTGGGTCATTCAAACATATGTGATAGAGTATAAAACCAAAATAAACAACCAGAGATCACCATCCTTTAAATAAAGCTTTCATGTATAAGGTTAAAAAAATCCCAAAAGCAAAAACAGAATGCTATCACATAAAATATTGAATTAAAAAAATAAAAAAGCAGCACCAAGAAGCCCATTTGGTGAATACATAGTAGTAATAATAAAAGTTCTTCCAGAAGATGCGGCACGAGCAGGAAACAAACTGTTCCCATTATAAGGGCAGGACTAACAGTCTGCAAATGAGAAATGACTGCAGGGTTGAGCGGGCTCTGTGGCTGAGGTACGTTTGCTATGATTATAGTCCAGCATGTTGCAAATGGCTTTAAAAATTACTTTGCAATAAACACAGTGGGTCTTGAATGTAGTTTGGACTTATAATCAGGCTGGATTCATGCTAACGTTTCCCAAATACAGGGAATTAATAAAGTGTGCTAAATGGTTGAGGATTTAACAAACTGGGTCAGGATATTATATGAAGCCTCTGTGAGATTCTCAGGTCTAGGAGGTTTTTATAAATTGGCATGTTAGGAGGAGGAAACACAAAGACATATATATACAGACACGCACACATGCATGCACACACGCACACAATCATGCACGCCCTCAGGGTGAACACCAGGAAGGCCCGCTGGTGTGTGACTTTCCCATTACCAGAAGTAGAGCTTGTTCATGCAGTAGCTGCTGCTGTAAGATCTCTAACTGTCTTTGCTCCTCCTCTAACTGTCGCCTGATGTATTCCTGGAGAGGCAGGCAGCAGAGAAATGGAAAGAATGGAAAGAGAGGAAAAGAGAGAGAAAGAACCAGTAATTGCAAAGGTGACAAGAGCTTCCAAGTGAAATTCTGCAGAAAGGAAGGAAAAAAATACCCAACACCTCACCGAACAGCAAGAACAGGCCATAGCAAAGCCAAGCTTTTCAATACAGTCAAAAGTACAGTCCCCTTGGGATGGCCTGGCATTTCACTGTCTCTATTTGGTTTTAATGAAACCAGCTCTCTGTCAAAGCTTGTTATTAGGCTCCTCTCTTAAGGACTCCGCGGAATTAACAATGATGTAAAGTTCTGAGGCTCTGTGCCAGCAGCAGGCATAGAACACATGTGCCAGGTTAGCTTGCTCACAGTCTTGGTAATGGATCCTTCTCCTAGCTTGCTCATTCCGCCTGTGAGTTTCTCAGTTAGAGAGACCACTGCCAGGAGCTGGAGAGCGGAAACAGCCTAAACGGCATGGCTCACCTTCAGCGATGGAAGAATGGGAACTTGGTTCCATGCAGGGGAAGTCAAAAGTTCTAGCTATGCCAGAGGAGGCCCTGGCTTGGGTGGGATGCAGGGACACTGTCAGACTGTGCACTTGACTGTTTGAATGGGTAAGAACTGTCACTTGAGAAAGAGCGAAAACTGTAATAGACGTCCTTGGAGACTACGTCCCATACCCCAGAGCCCCCTGACGCTGCAGTTCCGTGGGGCCTGTTGTAGGTCCACAGATTTTCCACCTCCCAGTACCTGCTCGTGCTCTGCGCGCCTCCTCTCCTCCTCCCGGCGCATCTGTTCTTCATAGTGCCGGCGCTGCTCCCGCTCCTGCTGCTTCCGGAGCTCCTTCTCACGCCTTTGTTGCTGTGGGTCACAAGCAGACAGCATGATAGCAGTGGGCACTGGCGATATTAGCATTAGATCTGTCCCGTGACAGACACGAGCTGTACCCAAATGCTCCAAGGCTTTTCCTCCTGGGCTACTGGGGGCACACTGGCAAGGAGGGGGTGATATCAAGAGATTTGGAGTTCTGTAGACCATGTATGTGGACTCTCACCAAGACATGCTCTTTTGTAGCCATTTGGGATTGTCAAACCAGGCTACAGAAGATCTTTGAGAGTCTCAGACTCTTGAGATCCATTGCAATATTTACGTACTTCGGTCATTCTAATGTCATACCATGCAGAGATTCCAAAGATACAGTTCACAGATATGTGGAGTAGATATTCAAGGCCACGTACTGATCAGAATTCACAGAATCCCACCCAGACCACACCCCCGCTGCTCACACCAAGCTGCTTCTCTGTTTGCTATAGGGCTCATTTGTAAATGCAGACATCACCTTCTCACTCAGGTAAGACCCTATGCAAAGGGAGCACTGCCATGACCTCATTGTCATTCTCACCTCATACAACTGTCCCACCCAAGAGTGGGTGGGGCAATCCACATGGTACATATCCACCTTATTTAATCTCCAAAAGTGTCTTTTGAGGTAGATGTCATTATCCCCAGTTTATGTACGGATACTGAGACATGGGGAGAGTAATTGCTGAAAGTCATGTTACTACTGATTACGGTCTGTCCCAGTAAATAGCAGAGCCTGGCTTTAAAGTCAGTCATATGCTCCAGGACCTAAGCTCAGCTAGTTTATAGCTGGAGAGACAGGAAATGTGGCAGAACACCTCCTCCCCCCACCCAAATTGACCTGGTTCTTCATTCTACTTTCTGAAAAGGAGAGGGTTTGGGAGACCTGAGAACCAAGCTCAGGGGCTGGTGCTTGGAGGTAGGCGTGGTGCCATTTCCCATCTCCACAATACGAGAAACTGTGAAGGGGCATGTGAAGGGCTTTGGTGGCTGTCCCAGTAACTGGAGCCACATGACTGGCATTTAGCCTGAGGGGCAGATATACCAAACATCTTGCAATGTACATTATCACATTTAAAACAATATGCTCCCGGGCCAAGCTCTGGGCATCCAGTTAAAGAGAGGGATGAGGGATGAGGGAAGAGATCAAGATCATGATGGAGATAAATCTGCAGAGACAGCTGAACCAAGCTCATGGGAACCCATGGACACTAGACCAACAGCTGTGGAGCCTACATGGGATCGAACTAGGCCCTCAATATGTGGATGACAGTTGTGAGGCTTGGGCTATCTAAGGGGTTCCTGGCCGTAGAACTAGTATCTATCCCTGGTGCATGAGATAGCCCTTTCCCTATGGTAGGATGCTGTGCTCAGCCTTAATGCAGGAGGGAGTGTGGTGATATATTATATATGATTTAATAAAGCCACTGGGGATCAAAATGCAAAGCTAGCAATAGCCATAGAGCCTGGTACACACCTTTAATCCCAGGACTTGGGAGACAGAGGCAGATGGATTTCTGTTAGTTCAAAGCCACACTGAGCTACATAAAATTGATGCAGCCTAAAAGAGAAACAGCTCACACAAAGGTGATCTCAACATTGGGATCATATGATTTTAATCCCAGCATTAGGGAGGTAAGGTGATATGTCTGTGGGGAGGGAGGCTTATAAGGCAGGAGAAGACAGGAACAGAGGGGATTGCAGTCAGGTTTGGTGGAGAGCAGTGCAGCCTGCATTGCACTCTGAGGATTCGTGGAGTAAGGGTCCCCCATTTTGGTCTGAGATAGAGGGAAGAGCTTGTGGCTGACTGCTTTGCTTTTCTGATCTTCAGCTTGACTTTATTAGATCACAAACAATATATCACCACAAGAGAGGGGCTTGGTCCTGCCTCAACTTAATGGGCCAGGCTTTGTTGATTCCTCATGGGAGACCTTACCCTTTGGGAGGAGTGGATGTGGGGTGGGCTGGGGAGGGAGGTGAGAAGGCCAGGAGGAGGGGTGGGGGAGGGAATTATTATTGGAATGTAAAATGAAATTAAAATAAACAAACAATGTGCTCTCCAGTAGTACTGGTAGCATCTATTTTGGGGACAGCTGTGGGCCTTTTTATGTCAGACCCTGTACTAGCTTTGATTTCTTTTTCCTCAGTTAGGAGGTTCTGAGAAAATAGACCAAGACCAGGGACCACTCATTCCTTGTGACAATCTCATGACATTTCATTGCTTGGTGAGGAGTGTGAGCTGTTCCAAAGAAAACAGCCTCCATTAAACTGACAAGTGGGTTCTGCAAAACCAGGGAAAGAACCATCACACCACAGCTGTCTGCCACAGGCCCCCAAAATGCCAAGAACCCTGGGGAAGCTTTGATGCGGTAGCTTTTACTGCAATCTTCCAGTATATCAGTGTGTGCTGTGTGCCAGTGCTCTCAGAATCTTAGGAAAGCAACTTCTCCATGAGACTCAGCATCTGTCACTCCCTAACTTGACAACCGCTTATCCATCTTGTACCGTACGTGATGAGGAGCCCCAGCAGGGCTTTGTGCAGCCAAATGACGCAATAGGGCTTGCATTTTCAAAAGGTCCCCAACAACCATTAGACACTAACAAAAAGGCCTTCCAACAGGTCTAGGCATGAGCCAACAGGGCACTGATGATGCAATAAGGCAGGCTGGGTACCGCTATTCATCTTTACTGCTAAGGAAGGAGAAGTTGCAAAAAGAAAGAAAGGTTCCAGATTTCTAGTCACCCTAAAATGACAGGTACCTGGCAGTGGTGGCACAGGCCTTTAATCCCAGCACTTAGGAGGCAGAGACAGGTGGGTCTCTGTGAGCTGGAGGCTAGCCTGGTCTACAAAACGAGTGCCAGGATAGCCAGGGCGATTACACAGAGAAACCTTGTCTTGAAAAACAAAAACAAAACAAAGAAGCAAACAAATAAATAAAATGACTGACATGGATGCTTGCTTAGAAGTTATAAGCAGGCCAACATGAAATAGGGAGTCTCTGGTGACCATGAACATTAAAGAGAGCAGAACTCTGGGCTAAGGAGTTTTCTGCATAGTGGAATGAAGAGGACAAGGAAAACCAGAAGTGTGCTGATCCCAGACAAGCAGATATTTGTTTTACAGAAAAAATGATTCAGAGGAACACAAGGGGGGAACACCATCCTAGGAATGACTGAATAATTTGGATTGCAGACCCAAAGCAGAGACATTTCCAACACTCAACTGAAGTGAATTAGTGCCAGCCCAGAGAATAAAATAATTATGTGTACTGATCTGGCTGCTGGCAGGAAATAGCCCTCATTTAGCTAACATTTCAAGTTCGTGACTCTTATTGGTCTCTTTCTTGAGGAAAAAATAATCAAGGCCTTTGAAGATTTGGCTGAATTTTATGTGGAAGATTTGTCTGTTTTCAGTGTGCCAGGAATCAATACTGTTTTATAATTACATGCCACTCAGGTTCCCACGCAAGGTACACACAGTATTGATTGCAACTCAAGAAGGAAGGGCTTCCCAAGTGTTCTGAAGCTTCAGAGAAAGACACTCAAAAGTGGCTAATAATTAATAATGATCTCACTCAGATCAGCCACTGGTCACACACAGAGGCATCTGCCAGGGCTTCAGTTCCTGCCGTGAAGTTAGAAAAATAAATTACCTCCCCAGCCTTCTGAGGGCACCTTGCCAATTTCCAACTGTGTGTCTCAAGGTTGATGCGTTTCCTAGAAAGATGTTCATGATCTGGGCACAGGGCTGTTGGAAAGGACACATCAAAGCACACTAAAGAAAATTTCTGGCTTTGAGGAGACCCTTACAAAGCCTTTGGTGGCTCTCTATAAGCAGCTCTAAAGGACAAGGCCAGTGCTCAACTTCAGCCTCTCACATGGGCCCTGGTACCCGGCAGGTACATGTAAAGATGTGTTGTACTAGACAGTGCTGAGGCAGAAGGAATGCCATGAGTTTAATATCAGTCAGGACTATATAATGAGACTCTGCCTCAAAGAAAAGGTGTTTTGAACTCAACAGAATAAAAACACTAACATATTATTCTCTTAAAGCATTTTGGTATTTTCTTATCATGACATTCATTATATCATAATTCATATTACTTCTTTGTGTTTGTTTTTATCAATGTTCTGATCTAGATTGAAAGTTACTGTGCGTCTTCATTCCAGGCTTTATCTTTTAAAAATGATTTATTTACTTAATTTTATTTGGGGTGTGTATGTGCCTGAACATATTTATGCATACCAAAAACATGTAGTGCCCCGAAGGGGCCAGAAGACGGTGTTGGATCCCCTGAAACTGGGGTTACAGACAGCTGTTAGCCACCCAGCATGGATCCTAGGGACTGACCATGGTTCTTTGCAAGATCAGTAAGCCCTTTTAACTGCTGAGCCATCTTTCCCGCTCTCCAGCCCCTGCCTTGTGTGTTTCTCACACACAGTGTGTCATTATTTATATTTGTCGTATTGATGACCGAAGGTCAGAAAACCAACCCAAGGGGACTATGCTAGTTGATTTTAACTGGCTACCTGACACAACCTAGAATCACCTGGGACAAGAGTTTTGATTTAGAGATTGTCTCCATCAGGTTGGCCTGTAGGGAATTGTCTTGCTAATTGATGGAGGAGGACCCAGCCCACTGTGGGCAGCACATGTCAGAGCTGGGCTGTGTGGAGCGAGGAAACCTGGCTGGAAACAAGCAAGCAGGCAAGCAGCATGAGGTTATTTGCTTCTCCCTGCTCTTCACTGTGGATGCGATGTGACTGGCTGTTAAAGTTTCTGCCTCCACTTCATGCAATGATGGATGGCAAGGTGAAACTGCATGAGTATAAACCCTTTCTCTCCAAAGTTGCTTGTTAGTGTTATTTGTCCCAGCAACAGAAAGAAAACTAGGGCAGAGGGAATGACTGAATCAGACCCGCCTTTCTGAGGCATCTCTCACAGGTCAGAAGGTCCTTCACAGCATGCCCATCTGAGATTGAGAATGTTAAAAACCAAA